TATTGTTAGAAAAACAGCAAAAAATATAGTAAATAGAATTTTGTTTCATCAGAATCGCTTGATAAAAGACAAAGTTAGAAATTTAACAAATTGGCGCCCAACTGTTGTTAAATTTTGGTCTTATTTTGTTTTTATTACCTATATCGTCCATGGAACGCTTTAGAAAGTCACCTCCGATATCATCCATCGATCTTTTCAGTGTATCGCCACCTTAATAAAAAAATAATTTCAAAATAAAAAAAAACATAAAAATGTTTATATTTTTTACCGATATCATCCATAGATCTCTTCAGTAAATTGAAAAAACTGCGCCTGTTTACATCGTTTCTATTATGATAAAACCCTAAAATATCGCCAAAAATTTCGTTAATCAACGTGCGTAAAAGCAACGTAAAAACAGATAATACTTACCGAACAAAACACATGTAAACGCGACACAGAACATCACATTACATGGATAGTTTTTAAATTCAATTTTGATACGGACAATTTTATTTTATCGACATTACAGAAGCGAACACACCTGAACCCGAGATTTAAACGAATTAAACATTTTATTCCCAATGGCAAAAACTCATTTACTTAAAGCAGGACGTATAATACTTACGGTATTTCGGTGGGAAGTCGTAGGAATTCTAAAAAAAGAGAAATATACGGAATTAGAGACTACAACGAGGCATATCTGATTTCAGTTGAGTTTGGTTTAGTTAATTGGCAAAGTGGTTAATTGATTTTAAAGGCAGTGCTCCAATGTGTAGTTAAAGGATTATTTTACGAATTTCCTAAAAGAAAATAAATAATAATAGTAAAAACAATGCCACCTTTAAAATATTAAATTACGTTAAAGGTTTTATAGCAACTACTTACAAATTATCCGGTTCTTTACTTGCTCGATACAAAGTAGTTTTTGTCAAAGTTTCTTTTGACGGTAAAGTAACCTAGCTATATAATTGACTGTATGTACATGGGTAATAATTATTAAAAAAGTCTTTCACGCGTTTTGCTATAATTTTCCTAAAAAACGTGATTTTTAAATTACTTTGCTTGGATGGCTCGCAGTTTGATCTTTGGTTGTTTGATTCATATACCATTAAAATTTAATGGGATGTTAAAAGACAAAAATTAATATTCTTGAGATACGTTTTTACACAATTTTTGCTTTTATATTGATAAAATGTACAGGCTATAATTTTAAAAATACAATTTTCTATTTGTGTGTCAACATTTTTTTTAGAAAAATAAATTTTTAAATACGAATATTTTTTACAATTTTGCTTTAATTTGGATGAAATTTTTAAGATGTACTTTTCAAAATACGATTTTTCAATTAATTTTATTTGTATTCCTAAATTTTTTAAAAGGTTTTTGCGAAAATGGTGGATGCACCGGAATTAATTTAATAAAACTTTTTTAAAAAGTATTTTACAAAAAACTGTTAACTTTAAAAAGAGCATTTTTCTTGATATATTTTTTAACTTTTATAAAAATCTTACAGATCTTACAGAAGTTACAATTTTTTATGTAAAAAATTAAAAATTAATAGTTAAATGCGTATTTTTTTACAATTTTGCTTTAATTTTGATGAAATTTTCAGGGTTTACTTTTTAAAATTTTTTTTAATTAATTTTATTTGTATTTCAAAATATTCAAAAATGTTGTTTTTTGAAAAAATGGTGGATGGGCCTGCATTAATTTATAAAAACATCGAAACTTTTTTTAAAAGTATTTTACGAAAAATCTCTTAACGTCACTTTAAAAAGAGCATTTTTCTTGAAATATTTTTCAACTTTTATGAAAATCTTACCAAAATTGAAGAAGTTACAATTTTTTATGTACAAAATTAAAAATAAATATTTAAATGAGTATATTTTTCACAATTTTGCTTTAATTTTAATGAAATTTTCAGGGTATACTTTTTAAAATACGATTTTTTTATTAATTTTATTTGTATTCCAAAATATTCAAAACTGTTGTTTTTTTCAAAAATGGTGGATGAGCCAGCATTAATTTAAAAAACATCGTACATTTTTTAAAAACTACTTTACAAAAAATCTGTTAACGTCACTTTAAAAAGAGCATTTTTCTTGATATATTTTTCAACTTTTATAAAAATCTTGCCAAAATTGAAGAAAATATATAAAAATGTTGTTTTTTAAAAAAATGGTGGATGAGCCTGCATTAATTTATAAGAACATCGTAACTTTTTTTAAAAGTATTTTACGAAAAATCTGCTAACGTCACTTTAAAAAGAGCATTGTTCTTGAAATATTTTTCAACTTTTATAAAAATCTTACCAAAATTGAATCGAAGTTAAAATTTTGTATGTAAAAAATTAAAAATTAATATTTAAATGCGTATATTTTTTACAATTTTGGTTTAATTTTGATAAAATTTTTAGGAAATACTTTTCAAAATGAGATTTTTCAATTAATTTTATTTGTATTCCAAAATATATAAAAATGTTGTTTTTTGAAAATATGGTGGATGCGCCTGCATTAATTTATAAAAACCCCGTAAATTTTTTAAAAAGTATTTTACGAAAAATCTGTTGGGGAAGATACAATTTTTTATGTAAAAAATTAAATTAATATTTAAATACGTTATTTATACTATGTTTATTTTTCACAATTTGGATTTAATTTTAATGAAACTTCTAGGGTATACTTTTAAAAATACGATTTTTCTATTAATTTTGTTTGTATTCCAAAATATTTAAAAATGTTGTTTTTTGCAAAAATGGTGGATGCGCCAGAATTAATTTAGAAAAAGCTCTTAACTTTATAAAAAGTTTTTTACGAAAATTCTGTTAACGTCTGTTTTAAAAGAGCAGCTCTTGATATACCACGCAATTTTAATAAACAAAATTGTTAAATATAGGTACAATTCTTATAATTCATTTTTGTATATTTTGTATACTTAATATTTATTTAATATATGTAAATTTAATGCATCGGATATAACAGTAAAAAAAATGCACTAAAGGTAAAGTTAAAACAAACACAACGCGTTATAGTCAATTATTGACATCAAAAGATAAAAGATGTTGACACGTTTTTAAAAAACCCTTTTAACCAATTTCACTCCCTTCACTGTTACTCATTGAACAACATTGTAAAAGGAATTTAATATCGTACGCATTTTTAATAAAACACGGTAATTTTGTCTCTTAACTTGTCTAATATCAGTTCAGAATTTAAAAGTTTTTTCTTGATGTGTGATTATTAAAAAACACGGCTTGAAGCGTACTGTTTGGTTTAAATGAAATTTTTAAAAGTCAACAAGCAGGTGAAACCATACTTTAAATTATTATTACAATGCGTATTGTGCAGAGACATTTAAACAAAACAAAATTGTGGTTATATCAAGGAAATTTAAAATACAAAGTAAATATACATTTTCCAAATATCAATCACAGTTAAGCACGGCTCAATCAAAATTTAAATGACAATTTTAATTGTTAATTTCTGTAAAACCGACCACTCATTATGCAACACTTAATATTCATAGTTTAAAATCAACATCAACAATATTTTTAATAAAATAGTCAAAAATTAATACGAAAATTTATTATTATTTATATTATTATTATATTTCCCTAAAATGGCATGTTAATTTCAATAAAAATACAAAATATACGATTTTACCAAATTGGCGCCCAACTTTTTTATTTCAATTTTTTGCTTTTAATATATGTAAAAATACGCCAATTTTAATAAAAATTTTAGGGTATACTAAACAAAACACGGTCTTTCAACTTATTTAAACCAAATTAATATCAAAAAATGCTAAGTCCCTTAAAAATAAATAAATATACCAAAATAGTTTTTTGTATGTAATTTCTTTAAAAATTCATCGATTTTAACAAAATTCTCAGGGTATACTGAAAAAAACACGCTTTATCCAATAACATAAAAAAATCTAAAAAATCGACTTACTTCACTGGGCGCTCCCTGCACCAAAATGAGCGTCAAACTTGCTGCCAGAACCAAAACGAAGGACTTGGACCACATGTTGCCTCTGGTAGATTCAAATTTTGACTCTGCTTTCTGCCTTTGAGCACCGCACCTTTATATGGCCGGTGAAATGGACGTAACTCACGTATTTAGGTGGGGGGGCATTATTTTGCTCCCCCCACGCCTCCTAATGAATTTCACGGCAATTACTTAATTATTGGGGGGGGAGTATAGAAAATGTTTTTGGTAATAATAAGTTGTCAAACGATTGCAGATGTAATTGATTCTTTGTTTTTATCTCTATAAGTGGACTTGGGGTGTTTTGTCATTAATGTGGTTTAAATTTTTGAATAAAGCGTCTTTTATTTAGTGTATTCTGAAAATTTTGTTCAATTCAAACTATAGCGAAAAACGTTTAAAACTCTAAAACGTCAAAATATGGACTTGGAACGTTTTGATTTTAAATCTGATATCATTTTTAAAAAAAGGGCATTGATTTCAATATACCCTGTAAATTTCATTGAATTTCGTCCACTTTTAAAAGATTTATAGCAAAAAATATATTTACAAAAAGTTGGGCGCCAATCCTTTAAAATTTCAACTTTTTAGTAAATTAGTTATTAATATTTGATTGTTTTATGTATAGGTATTTTTTTCACGAAATTCATATTTCATGTATTTAATTTTTTTTCCAAATATTTGTATTTGTATTTTTAACAAAGCCAATTATCAACGCTAATAAAAGCTAAATCAGCTTGATTTATTGCAATGGTCTGCAAATAAAAATGTTTGAAGAAAATAAGACATAATAAGTTATTTTTTTAGCTTTTAATTAAATAAATAAATGCGCAATGAATAATTAAATAAGTGTTTACATAGTTTTAGTTTTTATCGTTTTTGATATACTGGGTACTTGAAAAACGGTAGCCCATATGTTATTGTTTGTATAAGTTAATACACCACTTATAATAGTAATAATAAACAAACAATTTTTTTATATATTATATACAGGGTCCTGTAATAGGGGGTCTAAAAATTAAACAAACATTTTTAGATTTAATTGTTTATTTTTTTGTGTAAAATTTAAATTAAATCATAGAAATAATCCAAACCTTGACCAAGCTCCCATATTGAAATCCCTGTCCCCAATTTTTTCGCCATATCTATCCTAGAGTTAACAGAATACAGGGTTGGATAAAAAACAATATGTTGGCTATTTTCATCCCTAAAAAACATTGTTATGCAAAGTGTTGATTACTTTTATAATTTAACATACCTATATTCAAAAAAATGTTCATCAAACTCAGGCTCAAACTCTATGGTCCCCTTTTTGGTCTTAAGCAGTTTTACGTAGTCCCGCCCTAAAATAGGAACTCCCCCCTGCATAGAGTAATGGTTGCCGTAAAAATTCATCCCTGTAAGAATTTTTTTACGTTTTTTTTGTGTCGGTGGTAAGGGCGGATACGCATTTTTCCACCCAGCTGATTGGCGAGTTTGGACCTTGAAAAAAAGGAGTTGGGATTTTTTTGCATCAAACTGGTTTACATATTTAAAAGGAGCGTGTTTATTTTTGCAATTTCTGAAAATTTCATCAAAATCGCAATTAAATTAACAAAGTTACGACGATTTTTAGAAACTAAAAAACTATGGGCGCCAATTTGTCAAAATCGTAACTTCGTTATTTTTGAAGCGATTTTGACGATTTTTTTTGCAATACACTCGAAAAATTGTAAAACCAACAAACCTGGTTTCAGTGGAGTGGAATAATCGTAGGTCATCAAAGAAAATGCTGTAAAATGATCATAAAGAGCATCAAAATGTTTTTTATTAAACAACTCTTGATTTGCCCGCTTTGGCGGTATGACTAGAATAGTTTCAAGCTTCTCCAAAGCTAATTCATCCGCTGAAATAATTTTTTAGCACAAAAAAACTAAAATATGGTATTTTTTTACCAAAATTGCGTAAGAATTCGACTAGAGCCTCAAAAGTGATCCTTGTGGCTAACTGAGGGAAAACTTCAATCACATAACCATCAAATTTGTAGTATTTTGCGTTTTTAACCAAACTTTTTGTCAGGGCTTGAAGTTCATCACGTTCTGTTATTACTTTTGTGAAATCTAAGCCCGTCCACTCTTCAAAAACAACTCTAGGAACAACTGCAATATAATTGGCGTTATATCAATGCTTTTTGTTGTTTATATGTAAATACTTTTCAGGTTTCTTTCTCGACCAGCATTTTTAACATTGGAGATCCACTGAATGTCAATATCGTGTGTTCCAGCTAATTTATAGTTATAATCACCATCTTTAAAGCTTTGCAGCCATACAGGGCTTATGTGAGTGAATTTATTACCGAAAATTTTCGCCACATCATACCCATGATTGTTCCACTGTAAAAACCACATTAAAAGAAGAAAATTAAAGAAATTTAAACACTTACAGGTGTAACATAACCTAACACAATACCGTCGAAATTATATTCGTCAACCTCCCTAAAAAAACCTGCGTGGTTGATAATAATATCGGAAATATCTGGGTTTTGTGTTATTAAATTCTTAGCAAAAACTGTGTAGTTTTGGGGCCCTTTATGCGGTTTTTCCTGCTTTAACTTCACTTCTTTCGGCTGCCCCTTCGGAGATTTCTTCGACAACGTTGTATAAACATAATTAAAGCTAAGTGTTATTAAAAGAACGTACAAAATCGTATTTTTGAGCATATTATAAGCGTTTTTTGAATATTGACATTTTCGGTACTATTGAACTACTGCTACGTTGACAGTCGAGTAGCAGTGTTGCCAATATGTGAGTAATTCCTCATACTTGTAAGGAATTTGTGAAAAAAGACGATTGTAAGTAAGTATAATGGAAGTTATCAAAATATAACGTTTATTTTGCTATAATTTTCTGTGTAAATTTGTAAGCTTTTGAAAGTATATTGGTAAAATCCGTTGGTAACACTGTCGAGTAGATCGAATGTAAACAATTTGACAGCAAGAGCATTCTAACCTATAAATGCGACGTTTGACAGTGTTTGGTAAATAAACAACGAATTTATACGTAAAATAGGACACATTTATACGAAAAAAATTCAAAAATGACCGCGCCCCCGCAGGCTTTGGTGAATCGCAATAAAAAGCACTTCCTGGGGGTCCCAGCTCCTCTAGGTTACGTAGCGGGTGTTGGAAGAGGGTATACCAACAAAAACACAACTTATATGGTTTTTCATTGTTTTTTTTTTGTTTTAGAGCGACCGGTTTCACCACTAGATCTGATATTGGTCCGGCTAGAGACGCAAATGATGTTTCGTAAGTATATTAAGAATTTTTATTTGTAAAGGGTTCAACAGGGTTTTTTCTCAGTGATGATCGCCACGCGCCCCCAGCAGCCAAAAGAACGAAGAAGAAAGACGAGGAGGAGGAAAAAGAAGAAGAGGAAGATTTGAATGACTCAAACTACGATGATTTTAATGGTTATGGGGGTTCTCTGTTTTCAAAGGACCCTTACGATAAGGATGATGCCGAAGCGGATGCGATTTACGAGGCCATCGACAAAAGAATGGATGAAAAGCGTAAGGAGTATCGAGAAAAACGTCTTAGAGAAGAATTGGAGAGGTATCGTCAAGAGAGGCCAAAAATCCAGCAACAATTCTCAGATTTGAAGAGAGACTTGGGTATGGTTTCTGAGGAAGAATGGAGAAACGTTCCGGAAGTGGGAGATGTCAGAAATAGAAAGCAGAGGAATCCTAGGGCTGAAAAATTCACCCCCTTGCCTGATAGCGTGCTGGCTAGGAATTTAGGGGGTGAAGCTTCTAATAGTATTGACCCCAACTCTGGATTGGCCAGCATGGTGCCAGGGGTGCAAACTCCAGGTAAAAAAGTCACTATGAATGCAATATTTTATCTCTACAATTTGTTTTTTAGGTATGTTAACCCCAACAGGAGATATGGACCTCAGGAAAATAGGCCAGGCCAGAAACACTCTTATGAATGTCAAACTATCACAGGTAATTAAAAAAACAAAAAAAATTCAAAAAATCTTTGTTTTTTCCTTCCTAGGTTTCTGACTCTGTAACAGGCCAAACAGTAGTTGATCCAAAAGGTTACCTCACTGATTTACAATCAATGATACCAACTTATGGAGGTGACATTAATGACATTAAAAAGGCCAGACTTTTGCTTAAATCAGTCAGAGAAACAAATCCAAATCACCCGCCGGCCTGGATTGCCAGTGCGCGTTTAGAGGAAGTAACAGGTAGTTTTATAATTAATGCAAAAAATGCCGCTGGGTTTTTTTACATCAAAATGGTTAAAATATTCAGAAAGAACTTGTTTTAATTCTTATACTCTCCAAATTTCATCAAAATTGGTGCTTTTTTAGAGAAGTTATAGCAACAACAAAAAAGTGGGCGCCAATTTGGTGAAATCGTAACTTCCACAGTTACGCACTCTGATATGTGATATTTTTAGGGTATACTAAATAGAACACGTATATTTTGGAAACATTAAAGTTTTTGTTGAGAAAATTACAGTAAAATTATGACTAAATTTTAATTTTTTAGGCAAAGTTCAGGCAGCTAGAAACTTAATTATGAAGGGATGCGAAGTGAATCCGCAAAGCGAAGATTTATGGCTTGAAGCTGCAAGATTGAACCCACCTGACACCTCCAAAGCTGTCATAGCCCAGGCTGCAAGGCATATACCTACTTCGGTGAGTAAAAAAAATGCCATTTTATTGTCAATGTGGAATTTTTTATGTTTTTAAAGTGTGAATTTTGTATCTTACTTCATTTTTATGAAAACATAATTAAAATTGCATTCACCGTTTTGAAGATATATGGGAAAGTAAGGATCCTACGATTTTGTGCCTCAGTGTAGGTCGTTTGAACTACTCGATGTCGTATACACTCAGCCACAAAATGTTGGGTTCTTTTTCGATAAAATCGTGTTTTTTATTAACTTTCAACGTTGTTTCACAAGTTTTAAACTATATTTATTGCCAATGGGAACTTTTTATGTTTTTAAAAAGTGTATTTTTTATCTTACTGCATTTCTGTAAATTGCATTTACCGGTGTGAAGATATTTGAGAAATTAAGAATCCTAAGATTTTGGGTCTCAGTGTAGGTCATTTAAACTACTCGGTGTCGTATACTCTCAGCCATAAGATTTTAGATTCTTTTGATAAAATCGTGTTTTTATTAACTTTTAACGTTGTTTCACCAATTTAAGGATATTTTTATCATCAACGTGGGACTTTTTGTTTTTAAAGTTTGTATTATGTAAATTACTATATTTCTGTGAAAACAGAACTAAAATAACATTCAAGGTTTTAAAGATATTCGAGAAAATAAGAATCCTACGATTTTGTGTCTCAGTGTAGGTCATTTGAACTATTCGATTTCGTATACACTCAGCTACAAGATTTTAGGTTTTTTGATATAATCGTTTTGTATCAACTTTTAACGTTGTTTGACTAGTTTTGAGCTATTTTTATTATCAACGTAGACATGTTCATGTTTTTAAAAGTGTGTATTTTTTATTAACACCATTTTTCTGAAAATACAATATAATAAATATTGCATTTGCCATTTTTAAGATATTTAAGAAAATAAGAATCCTACGATTTTGTGGCTCAGTATAGGTCATTTGAACTATTCGATTTCGTTTACTCTCAGCCATAAGATTTTACGTTCTGATAAAATCGTGTTTGTATTAACTTTTAACGTTGTTTCATAAATTTTATGATATTTTTATTACTTTTTTGTTTTTTAAAGTTTGTATTATGTAATTTACTACATTTCTGTGAAAACAGAACTAAAATAACATTTAAGGTTTTAAAGATATTCGAGAAAATAAGAATCATACGATTTTGTGTTCCAGTGTAGGTCATATGAACTACTCGATGTCGTATACACTCAGCCACAAAATCTTAGGTTATTTAGACAAAATCGTGTTTTTATCAAATTTTAACGTTGTTTATTTAACCAATGCTTAACATTCTTATAGGTTAGGATATGGATAAAGGCTGCTGATCTGGAGGACGAGACCAAGGCGAAGCGCAGGGTGTTCCGCAAGGCTCTCGAGCACATCCCCAACTCCGTTCGGCTCTGGAAGGCGGCCGTGGAGCTGGAAAATCCGGAGGACGCCAGAATTTTGCTGTCCAGAGCCGTGGAATGCTGTCCCACGGCCGTGGAACTCTGGTTGGCCTTGGCCAGGCTGGAAACGTACGAAAACGCGAGAAAAGTTTTGAACAAGGCCAGAGAAAACATACCTACAGGTTGGTACACTTTTTTTTACGAAAAATAACGTAACCTTTGTACTTTATAGACAAGCAAATCTGGACGACAGCGGCCAAACTGGAGGAGGCCAACGGCAACCACCACATGGTGGAAAAAATCATCGAGAGAGCCATAACCTCACTTAGCTCTAACGGGGTGGAAATCAACCGCGAGCACTGGTTCAAAGAGGCCATAGAGAGCGAAAAAGGCGGCCACGTGCACTGCTGCAAGGCCATCATAAAATCGATAATTACGTGCGGCGTGGAACCTGAGGATCAAAAACACACGTGGATGGAAGATGCAGAGCACGTGAGTTTTGTTTTCATAGTCGTCTCCATAAATGTTGTATCATCCAAATTATAAAACCTACATTTCTTAATTTGGTTACATAAATATTTATATCACTCTATATACCCCTTAAAGAGCTTATTTGGGGAGCTATCTTATTGTCATCTTATTCATTAACTTGTTTAAACCACGTGAATATTTTGAGAAGCCAAGTATGGCGAAAATATTAATGGTATATAATAGACTGGGCCAAAAATATCAACAATTTTTTTTTGAAAATATCGAAAATATGGTTTGGGGTGACAAAAAAACTATTGTGAAAGTTTGAGTCCATAATATTAATATTAAGAGGTCTATCATCACGCACTCTGATATGTGCCTTTTAATATTAATATTATGGACACAAACTTTCACCATAATTTTGTCGCCCCAAAAAATATTTTCGATATACTTTCAAAAAAAAAATAGTCGATTTTTTTTTCCCAGTCTAGTATATAATTAAAATCTAAGATTTTTGACTCAATACGACTTGAAGTGCGAAGTAATTTTTTTGTAAATATGTACACAATACTTTTTTTAAATTAAATATTTTTTATACTATTAAAAAATATATAAAAATATTTTTTTTAAATACATAAATATCTTTCTGTTGCTTACATTAAAGTAGTGGATTTTTTACCTTGGTTTGGTCAATTAAGTTGTTTTTGTAATACAATTCGATAAACATTTATTTTATGTAAAGAAAGAATGTATCAACCTTGAGCCCTCTTATATTGCTCATGGTAATTTTTTTATAACCCAAGGTGCTAGTTCAGTTTTATAGGACTATCTAAGTTACTATTCCCCCCCTATTATATAATTTTGAAACTTTATAAAACTCCTTTATAAACCCACTGTTAACGCTTACTAAAGGTTATATAAAATGTTTGTAGAAATATAACCTTATTATATACTAGAGTTTACAGTAATCTTGTTAAACTCTTATATAATTTGACAATTTTATATAACCTTTATATAATTTATCGTTACCATAAGTAGTAAAAATTGTTTATTGGGTTGTAAACTACTTTTTCGTTTTAGTGCGTGAATCAAGGCGCTTATGAGTGCGCACGCGCGGTTTACAGCATCGCTTTGGTGACATTCCCGGGCAAGAAATCAATATGGCTGAGGGCTTCCTACTTGGAAAAAAACCACGGATCCCGAGAGAGTTTGGAATTGTTACTGCAACGCGCTGTCGCTCATTGTCCGAAATCGGAGGTACAAATAAATAAAAAAAAAGCGAATATTGTTAAAAAACATTTTTTCAGGTTTTGTGGTTGATGGGGGCCAAAAGCAAATGGCTCGCCGGGGATGTCCCGGCGGCCAGAGGCATCCTATCGCTGGCCTTCCAAGCCAATCCCAACAGCGAAGAGATTTGGTTGGCCGCCGTAAAACTGGAGTCGGAAAATCACGAATACGAACGGGCTAGACGCCTGTTGGCCAAAGCCAGAGGTGAGAACCGTCAAACGTCAAAATCGTAACCTCATTTTTTATTTTTTTTCAAGGTTCCGCTCCCACGCCGCGCGTCATGATGAAATCTGCCAAGTTGGAGTGGTCTTTGAACGACTTGGGCGCCGCTTTAAATCTGCTGGACGAAGCCATCAAGGTCTTCCCGGATTTCCCGAAATTGTGGATGATAACCGGGCAAATCTACGAACAGAAGAACGATTTTTCCAAAGCTTTCGACACCTACAACGCCGGGGTAAGAGTTTTATGTCTATGATTATTTTTTCTACTTTTTTTACGTCTGTTGTATTTTTCTATGTCTTATACGTCTAAGGTTTATTTGTAATTCATCATTTTTTAGAAAGAAGACAAAAGTCTATTTTTTTCTGTTTTATTTGTTTATAGTTTGTTTTTTTTAGGTTTTTATATGCCCATGACTAATTTTTGTACGTTTTATACGTCTATGGTATTTTTATAAATATATTGTTAATTTTTTCATAATTTATGTCTATGGCTAATTTTCTAAGTTTTATACGTCTATCGTCTATTTTTCTATAGTATTTTTTTATAGTTTATTTTTCTATGTTTTATATGTCTATATGTATTTTTAGTTTTTCTGTTATTTTTAACACGATTTTCCAATAGTCTAATTTTTAGTCTGTTTTATTCCTTTATGGTTTGTTTTTATGTTTTTTTTGTCAATTACTATTTTTTTAGGTTTTATACGTCTATGGTCTTTTTATGATTTTTTCATATTTTATATTTATGGCTATTTTTCTACGTTTTATACGTCTATCGTCTATTTTTCTATAGTTTTTTTTATAACTCCATTGTTTATTTTTCTATGTTTTATATGTCTATATGTATTTTTCTATGTTTTGGTATGTCTATGTATTTCGGTTTTATTCGTGTTATTTTTAACACGATTTTTCAAAAAACCTAGGATTTTGTGGTTTATTTTTCTATGTTTTATTCATCTATGGATAATTTTGTACATCTGCATACACATGTATTTTTTTTAAACCTAGGATATTGTGACATAGTGTATATGACAGCAAGTAGTTCATATGTTTGTTTTTAAAACGATTTTTAAATCTAGCATTTTGTGGCTCAGTGTATACGAGTAGTTCAAATTACCTATACTTGGTCATAAAATCCACAAACTTTGTATGTTTAATGTCTGGTGAATTTTTTATAATTTTTATGTTTTATGTCTATGGCCAATTTTTTTATGTTTTAAGAGATTTATTCGTTCATAGTTTGTTTTTACATGTTTTTATATGCCGATGAATAATTTTTCTACGTTTTATACGTCTAGGGTCTTTTAATACATCCATTGTTTATTTTTTCTATAATTTTTTCTGTTTTCGCATGTCTATGGTATCTATGTTTATTTCTCTATGGTTAATTTTTCTACGTTTTTTAAGTCTGTTTTAAACGTAATTTAAAAAAAACCTAAAATATTGTGGCTCAGTGTATACGACAACGAGTAGTTCAAATCACCCACAATGGGCCACAAAATAGGTCTATGGTTGGTTTTTCTATGTTTTCGCATGTCTATGGTTTGTTTTTCTATGTTTTATTTGTCCGTAGTTAATGTTTCTACGTCTGTTTTTTAACATTATTTTATTTTAAACCTTTAGAGATTTTGTGGCTCATTCTAGACGAGTTATTATTATTAAATTACCTATAATGTTACAAAATTCACAAAACTTGCATGTTTTATACGTCTTTGGTGTATTTTTTACAATTTTTATACGTCCATGGTTTATTATTTGTATATTTTTATTTTTGTTTTGTACGTCTATGGTCTATATTTCTGTTTAAAATGTTACTTTTTCTACGTCTGTGGTTCCCATTTAACACAATTTTTAAAACCTGGGATTTTGTGGCTCAGTTTAACGACAGCAAGTAGTTCAAATAACCTATACTGAGCCACAAAATCAGAGGTGTTTTCAAATTTTTATTATATCTCCGTAACGGTTTAACCTAGAAGATTGAAATTTAAAATATTATCAAAGTAAATTATGTTGAACAACCCCTTTAAATATAAACCCTCTATATTGAACAGTTTCAGAGATATTGTAACCTAATGTAAAATATCTACATTTAGATCAAAAAATGTCCAAATTCAATCCCACTGTGGATCTTACTGACAAGGTTAGAAGAAAAACGTGGTTTACTGATTAAAGCACGTTCCGTATTGGAAAAAGCGCGCCTAAAAAACCCCAAAAACGATCAACTTTGGTTGGAGGCCATACGAGTCGAACTCAGGGCTGGCATGAAAGATATCGCCAACTCCATGATGGCCAAAGCGCTGCAAGAATGCCCCAACAGCGGGATTTTATGGTGCGAGGCCATATTTTTAGAGCCTAGGCCTCAGAGAAAAACCAAATCAGTAAGTTTGATGTACATGTGAATTTTTGGGGTTTTTAACGTATGTTTTTGTAGGTTGACGCTCTGAAAAAGTGCGAGCACGATCCACATGTATTATTAGCAGTCAGTAAGCTGTTTTGGTCTGAGAGAAAGTTGAACAAGTGCAGGGAATGGTTTCAACGTACATTGAAGATCGAACCTGACCTAGGAGACGCCTGGGCTCACTGGTTCCGGTTTGAACAGTTGCACGGTACAAAAGAACAACAAGAGGAGGTTAAAACACGCTGTTTAGCTGCTGAACCTCACCATGGAGAGTTATGGTGTAGTGTGTCAAAGAATATTAAAAATGTAGGGTTAAATATAGAGCAATTACTTACTGCTGTTGCTGTAGAGGTACCTATACCAGTGTAATCAAGAAAAAGGATTTAAAATAAAAAAAACGTTATTTAAGTATTTTTTTGTTTTATTTTTATAATAATAATAAATAACTAACCTAACAATTCTTTTTTATATTCCTTCAACTGCTTTAATTTCACACAAGTCTCCTCCAATTTTCTTTGCACATTAACACTGTCGACAACGTAATTAATAGCCTGCGTGAACATTTTTTGCGCGTTGTGCAGATTTTGAGGCACCAAAACCCCAAACCATTTCAAAGGGTTCGGTACATCTTCCCCACCACATTTTTGTATCTCCACCGCCTTGCAGTCCAAATATTTCTCACTTTTATCCACCACTTTAACATTCGCCGTCATTTCTGCATCTTCCGACGGCAACTGCAGCACACTCACGCTGTTTTGGCCCAAAATATAGCGAGTTTTGGCCAAGTTTGATTCGCCGGCAACCATGGCATTTTCGAGGCTCAATTTGAGTTGTATTTGCTCTTCCATCAGCGTTAGAGCGTCCAAAGTTAGTTTGTCCAACGTTTCGCACACTTTTTCCAGCTCTTCGGACATTTTTTCGCAAGATTTGACGTTATAAACGTCAAAACCATATGACAAGTATTACTTCAGTCATGCTCGAGAAGATGGCGTTGCTTTTTTATCAAATTCAGAGATATAAGTTTCGTTAGGTTGGTAGTAGTAGTTTATTCAACTGTCAAAAGTTTGAATCTGTTGACGGTTGTGTTTTCAAACTTATTAAAATGGATTTCACGCAAAGTATTGAAATAGTTTTGAAAAGGTACGTTAATATTGTTGTAATATACGGGGTTTAACATTATTTTATTGTTTTAAGTGAGAAAACCGGTTTAAAAACCACGATAATCCCCGTGGTGCAAAAATTCTTGGAAAAGGGGAATTATTCGGCAAATTCTTTAATTTCCAAGTTTAATAGGGATGAATTCTCGGTATTACACGACGAAGTGCAGCATATTGTTATCGGTGACATCAAAAATAAGGTATGAAAACATATATGCCACTATAGAACATATTTTACATGATGTATTATTCGTTTAGGATGAAAACAACATTGATTTCATTAATAAAGTTAAATATTACGTATACACGTTGGATACTTACGGAGAACTGGAACAATACTCAGATGATAATGAGTTGCTCTATGGGAGTCAATACATACTCCCATCGGCGGAGTTATTTGATATATGGGAGAATTTATACTATGAAAGCAATATTAAAGAAAATGTAAGTTTTACTTTCTGAAGTATTACAAAATGGTGATATTTTTACTTTTAGTTGCTTAAATATGCCCATACAATGATGGAATTTTCTGATAAAGGTGTAAACTATAACATTGTGACTTGTAATAGGGTTATTTTGCTGCATGGGCCTCCAGGAACAGGAAAAACTTCCTTATCCAAGGCTCTAGCACAAAAACTGTCAATTATTATGCAAGACAGGTACCCCCAGGGTATTTTCATTGAAATTAAAACTGATTGTTTATTTTCAAAGTACTTTTCAGAGGTAAATATTAAATATTTAATAAAGTAAAAGTGTTATGTTTAAAAATATTTTAGAGTGTTAAACTTGTCACCAGAATGTTCAGAAAGATACACGAGGTGATAGAAAACTCCAATATGCTTGTCTGTGTTTTAATTGACGAGGTAGAATCTCTAGTGCATGCCCGTGACTTGTGTACAGATTCCGATCCCAGCGATTCAATAAAAGTAGTTAACGCAGTTTTAACGCAAATTGATCAGCTCAAAAAACACCCGAATGTGCTAATATTCTGCACTTCAAATATGACTAACACGATAGATGTTGCCTTTGTGGACAGGGCGGATATAAAACAGTATTTGGGGTTGCCTAGCATGAATGCCACATACAAAATCTACCATTCTTGCTTGGAGGAGTTGATTAAGGTAATTTAACTACCGGACAACCTCTTGTATTTGTACCTTGGTAAATCAAGGTGCCAAGTGTAAGAGGTAGTCTCATAACTTTTTTTACAGGCCCAAGTGATTTTTTGCGATAAAAACATAGAGGATGTTCAAAATATCAACAAAAATGAATGTATGGATGAGGTGAGCAAAAAACTGTTGGAGATTTGCAAAAAAAGCGAAGGATTGAGTGCTAGATGTTTAAGAAAAATACCTTTTATAGCACACGCTTTATTTGTCTGTAGTAAGTTTGTACAAATCAACGATTTTTTGGACGCCATGGAGAAAGCTATTGATAGAGAACACGCGGAAAGATCTTACTTTTGTAAAAGTTAGTTTTAAAAATAAAATTAAGTTATAATTTTAAGGAATAAATTTTTTAAGTTTAACAGTTTTTTATTAAACAATTATGCTTTGTATCAAAATATTTCCAGCCTCCATTAAAAGATTGTAATTTACAAATTTGGTTTGTTTTTGTGTCTCAGTATAAATGACACACATTTTATGCATTGCAGTGTAGGTCATTTGAACTACGGTGTAAAAATACACTGGGTTGCATTAATCTGTTCTAAAATGTATGATAGAGAGTAGGTACTCTAAATATGTAAGTTTGATACATCCTTAGATTCCTTGATTTTTTCTCTTTTAATTTCAATTCAAAATTTTATCAAGAGTGACGTTTCTTCTAAAAATTCAAAATAAAAATCCATCCTGGCTTATTCTATAGAATCAACTATTCTTTTTAAAACTTCTTTAAAAAAACTAGAAATAATAATAATTTTGATTTGAAGTTCTAAAATGCGTTTTGACATTGCAAACAAGTTTTTGACATCTTTAAATTTAATTTTGATTTTGTGCCTCAGTGTAACGCAATGGTGGTAGTTCAAATGACATATTTTCTGCATGTTTAAGTCATTTGAACTACTGTGTAAAAATACAGTGGGTTGCATTAATCTTTTCTAAAATGTATGATAACGAGTTCTCTAAATATTTTAGTTTGATATATCGTTAGATTCCTTGATTTTTTTCTCTTTTAATTTCAATGTTGGTAATTTTTGTATCCGGGCTTATTAAAATCAACTTTTCCTTACAAAACTTAAAAAAAAAATCAATTTCGTCTTTTCCTAACTTTTGAACATCCTGTAGATTTTCTTTAAAAATAATAATTTGGATTTGACGTTCTAAAATGCGTTTTGACATTGTAAACAAGTTTTTAATTTTGATTTTGTGTCTCAGTGTAACGGAATGGTGGTAGTTCAAATGACACATGTATAGGTCATTTGAATTACATGGGTTGCAAATCAAATTAAAATTTAACAATTTTTTATTATACAACAATGTTTTTTATTAAAACATTTCTGGCTGCTATAAAATTCCCAGCGTTTTTGTAAATAATATGCAAATTAAAAGCCGCCTCTCGTTTTAAACACAAAATATCCGGGTACTGTTCAAGTAGACTATTTTCGACGTATAAAACCCTATTATAGTAGTGTTCGGCCAAATAAGTGATCCCCAATTGTTGATACATCCTTCCTAAATTATAGAAAACTTCTTGCTCGGCCGACTTCGTCCTAGATTTCTTGTAGTTCATAAACAAATACGTTGCCGTCTCCGCAAACAATTTTTTTCTGTGCTTGTTGTACTTCTGCGAGTACAACTGCAGTATTATGATCCCCAGCATGAGCGCACTAAACGAGGTCTTGCTCCTCTTGTACTCCTGCATGAAAAACGTCAAGCAAGTCATGTAATTCCCCACCGAAATGTTGTAGTTCGCCTCTATGACCTTGATGGTGGGCGCGCTGAACTTGTTCTGCAGCCTTTCCAGGAACCTGATGTACCTGCAGTCTTCCGGCTTCTGCAGAATCACGTTGAACCAATTCCAAGCCAAGTTGTTCTTGATGTTTTGATAGTTGTGCTTCAAAATTATATCCCTGATCGTCGTGTAACCGTGGAAAATGTCCCCCTTCAGCATGCACGAGTAAAAGGCGGACAAAAATATCTCGTCTGCAACAGAAACACCCGTGATTTTGCGCCTCAGTGTTTTTACAGCACGAGTAGTTCGAATGCTCATCTTAACATTTTATGCATTTCAGTGTAGGACATTTGAACTACTGCCTCAGTGTTTTTACAGCACGAGTAGTTCGAATGATCATCTTAACACTTTATGCATTTCAGTGTAGGACATTTGAACTACCGCGCAAAATTACACTGAGCGGCATTAATTTTAACCACTCACCGGTGAATTTGAGGAATCTTTTCGAGCATAAACCCATGAACGAAAATTTTTGGTACATCGCGTAATTTTCCGTGTCTTTTGCGAATTGCAAGATGTTTCTGTAGAATGAGTATTCCTCTTCCACGGAAGGCTCTTTGATGCTTATAAAATTGGACTCTATATCGGAATTATCGCCTCGAAACTCGCGCATTTTTTTTAATTTTGTCACTTTTTCCCTACAAAAAAATCCTATTAACATATTAATGTTAAATTAAAAAATTATATAAAACACACCTAACGGAAAAATTTATCGTAACTATTTTCAATTCTTCTGGATTTTTTAGTACAACACAGTGCCTGGACAAAAGTAGTTCGGCCGATTTCCAGTAGTCCTCCAAATGGTTGATTTTTTTCAGTAACTTCATTCTTTCCATCAGAACTGCCACGTCCATTTTATTTGTTGTTAAATCTTGCGATAAAACGTCCAAAGCTTCCTGTTGTTTACCTATTTTTTTAATAAATAGTTCACATTTTATCCACCGGTGATTTAAATTTGAAAAAAGTGAGGTTAAAAACGTTGGACAGATGACATATTGGGAAAACGTGAGGTTAAAACCGTTTCACCCTTAAGGAGGGGTAGGGGGTGGCTAGCGGTAGCACCAAATAATGTCCCCTTTAGTCACATTAACCTTTTATTTAAGACATTTTTCCGTGAAATGCGTATTTCTCGAGATATTGAGCTGTCTCAAGTTAAAAGAAACACCCTGTATGCTTGTTGACATTTCTTAAAGTGTCTTTGACATTCTTAAGTATGTTTTGACATTCCTAAGTAAGTTTGAAATTCAGAAATGTAGGTTTCCACATTCTCAATTAATTCTAAATTAGGTTCTAAAGTTTGACATTTTAAAATTTGGATTTGACGTTTTAAATTGTGTCCAAATATGATTTTTGACATTCTCAATGAAGTCTTAATTCGTTTTTAAACTTTCTAAAGATTTTTAAATTTGGATGTGACATTCTAAAATGAGTCAAAATATGCTTTTTGCATTTCTTAAAAGTGGGTTTGACATCCTTAAGTATGTTTTGACATACCTACATAAGTAAGTTTGACTTTCAAAAATTTTGGTTTTGACATTCTCAAATGTCTAATTTCTTTTTAAAAAATCCAAAGTTTGACATTTTAAAATTTTGATTTGACGTTCTAAAATGTGTCCAGATATGCTTTTTACATTTTTTAACATTTAAAAAAAAGTTTGTTTTGACATTTCTAAGTAAGTTTGACATTCATAAATGTTGGTTTTGACATCGTCAATTAAGTCTAAATTAAGTTCTAAAGTTTGACATCTTAAAATTTGGATTTGACGTTTTAAAATGTGTCCAAATATGCTTTTGGACATTCTTAAATTTGGTTTTGACATTCTTAATTCAGCCTAAATTCGTTTTTAAACTTTGACATTTTAAAATTTGGAAGTGACATTCTAAAATGTGTCAAAATATGCTTTTTGCATTCGTTAAAAGTGTTTTTGACATCCTTAAGTATGTTTTACATTCACAAGTATGTTTTACATTCACAAGTAAGTTTGACATTCACAAGTAAGTTTGACATTCAAAAATTTTGGTTTTCACATTCTCAATTATGTCTAAATAACTTTTTGAAAATTCTTAAGTTTGACATTTTAAAATTTGGATTTGACATTCTAAAATGTCTACAAATATGCTTTTTACATTTTTTTTACATTTAAAAATTTGGTTTTAACATTTACAATCATGTCTAAATTTATTTTTTAAAATTCCAAAGTTAAATAAATTAAAATTTGACGTTATTAAATGTATTCAAATTGGACATTTTTTAAGTGTGTTTAACATTCCTAAGTAAGTTTGACATTCAGACATGTTGTTTTTGACATTATAAAATGTGTCATTCCAAGACATATTTTTGACAATATTAAATGACTTTCTTACCTTGATTTAAAAGTAGCATGGCCAAGGGATATAAAACTTCCACATGTTGAGGTGCTAAAGCCATCACAGTAAAATAGGCTTCAATGGATTGTTCAGGCATTTCACACATTGATAGGCACTCTGCGTATTTCAACCAAATTGCGGCAAGAGAAAAATTCTTGGATTTAACCAATGGAATGAGTAACTTTAAAGCTTCTTGCGGCATTACAGTGATGAGAGCCTCAACTATGTCCAAATAGAGGTCACCGTAAATATCCACATCATCATTTATGATTATTGAGTCTATTAGTTCTGGGACTAAGTGGAGAGATTGGAGTTTTATAAGGCATATTATGAATTTTACTTTTAGGTCTACTTGGAGGTTTTCTGGAAGGGTGTAGGAATTTACGGTTATTTTTTGGTTGTCTTCAACAAAAACATCAAACTCAAAGCTGCAATACCTTATGAATAAATCTAAACATTCAGTGAACCTATCGCAATATAATAATGATTCCAACATCATGTTTAATAAATCTAGGGTTATTTTTGTCGGTACGCGTTTAAATGGTATATCTAAAACCTCCAGAGCTCTTATGTAGTTTTTTTGATTAAAAAATTCCTTCCCCAACTCCATACATATGCTAATAATACCCTCAAAGTTTTTTATGGGCAAATTTTTGGCTAGGGTTTGCTTGCAACGTAGCACCTGCTTTATATTGCAATGTTTCTCCACCAAACTCAACCTCTTGTAATGGATGTCCATATTTTTCCCACATGTTCCATTCCTTAGCAGTTTTGTGTAGCAAGCTATAGCTTCCAAAGGTTGATTTTCTTGCAAATAGGTATCAGCCAACCTGCACATAATATCCTCCCCGCTGGGGTTCATATGACTCGCCAACAGCAAATACCCCCGGTACTTCTTCAAGTTCACATTCTCGTACATTTGACTCAGAGTCAAGTAAGGCTCATAGGCATCGGGACAGTTCCTTATCACCTCATAACACATCTTCTTGGCCAAAACCAAATCCCCCCTGGCAAACCTCAGGTTAGCCTCACCCATCAACCCCTTAAAATGCACTGGTAACTTTGAACTCGCGACTTTTTTGCGTTTTCGTATTTTACTCGAATTCTCATCATCCGATTCGCTATCGGTGTTGTGTAGCGTACTGGGCCCCGCCATATTATCATCCTCCTCGATATCCATTGGAATTTCATCAAGGGATAAGTCCATTTTTGCGATTTTGTTGTTTACTTCTTAAGTGAGGTTATGTACTGTTATTTGTGAGGTTAAGGTTTGTTGACGGGTCATTTGAACTACTACGGTTAGAATGTTTATTTTGCGTTAAAAATGTTGTTTTAATATGTTTTAAAGTGTTTTTAGTGCTGTGTTAGTATTATTGTATGACGAAAACAATTTAATATAAGTAACAAACATAAAAAATCAAAAAACATTAATTTGGAGGTTATATTTTGTTTTCTTTATATTTTGGCTTAAAAACAGTGAAAATGAAGCTGGTAAGCAATTTTTAATTATACTTACATAAAACGTTGTCATTAACAATCCATATTTTCAGTATTGCTTAAGTAATGACCCTAATAAACCATGTCATATTTTAACTTTTCGAGAGATAACAATGATGTTGGATTGTGGCCTTTCTATGCAGTCGGTGTTGAATTTTTTGCCATTACCATTTGTACCATCGCAGAAACTGCAAAATTTACCGACTTGGATGCCTATTGACGTTACAGATCCCGAATTAGACGGGGTAAAGTATAGATATAATTTGTAATTTTTTATTATCTAATTTGTTGTTTTAAGGAGTTAAAAGAGAATGGGGAGCGGGTTTTCGTCGACTCCCCTCCCGAGTTTTGTCCTCCTCTGGATAAATTAATCGATTTCGCGCAAGTGGACGTCATTTTAATCTCGAATTACTTGTGCATGATGGCATTGCCGTTTATTACAGAAGGTACCGGTTTTCAAGGTAGAGTGTATGCAACCGAGCCTACACTGCAAATTGGTCGCTTATTACTGGAAGAGTTGGTGATATACATTGAACAATGCCCAAAAGCGAGTTTTGCCTCACAATGGAAGAATTTTCTGCATAAGTTGCCATACCCTTTGAGCGACTCGTTTAAACCTAAATCTTGGAAGCAAATTTTTAATATGCAGAGCGTCAATTCGAGTTTGAGTAGGATACAGATGGTGGGGTACAACGAAAAAATCGTAAGTGTTTTCAATTGTGCTTTAGACATTTTAAAAAGTGGTTTTGACCAAATATGGTTTTTGACATTTTTAAAAGTGTTTTTGACATTCCTAAGTAAGTTTGACATTTTAAAATTTGAATTTGACGTTCTAAAATGTATCCAAGTATGCTTTTTATAATTTTTTGACAAAAATTTGACATTTACAATTGTCTGAATTTGTTTTTAAACTTTCTAAAGTTTAAAATTTGAATTTGACGTTTTTAAATGTATCTAAATATGCGTAAATGTCTTTGACATTCTTAAGTATGTTTTGACATTCCCAAGTATGTTTGACATAAGTCTAAATTAAGTTCTAAAGTTTGACATTTTAAAATTTGGATTTGGCGTTCTAAAATGTGTCTAAATATGCTTTTTGACATTCTTAAATTTGGTTTTGACATTGTCAATTAAGTCTAAATTTCGTTTTCTAAAGTTTGAAATTTAAAAATTTGAATTTGACGTTCTTAAATGTAACCAAATATGCTTTTTGACATTTTTAAAGTGTCTTTGACATTCCTAAGTAAGTTTGACATTAAAAAATGTTGGTTTTAACATCCTCAATTAAGTCTAAATTAAGTTCTAAAGTTTTATATTTTAAAATTTGGATTTTGACGTTCTAAAATGTGTTCAAATATGCTTTTTAAATTTTTTTGACATTTAAAAATTTGGTTTTAATATTTACAATTATGTCTGAATTTGTTTTAGAACTTTTCAAAGTTTAAAATTTGAATTTGACGTTCTTAAATGTATCCAAATATGCTCTTTGACATTCTTAAGTAAGTTTGACATTCAAAAATATTTGGTTTGTCATTCTAAATTAAGTCTAAATCTCTTTTTAAAAAAATTAAACTTTGACATATTAAAATTTGGATTTGATTTGTCTTTGACATTCTTAAGCATGTTTTGACATTCCCAAGTAAGTTTGACATTTACAAATGTTGGTTTCGACATTTCAAAATTTGTATTTGACTTTCTAAAATGTGTCAAAATATGCTTTTTGCCTTTCTTAAAAGTGTTTTTGATGTGTTTTAGACATTCCCAAGTAATTTTGCAGTTTAAAAATTTGGTATTGATATTCTCAATTATGCCTAAATTTCAAAAGTTTGACATTTTAAAATTTGGATTTGACGTTCTAAAATGTCTCAAAATAGGCTTTAGACATTTAAAAATTTGGTTTTGCATTTACAATTGTAAATATGTCTAAATTTGTTTTTAAACTTTCCAAAGTTTAAAATTTGAATTTGACTTTCTTAAATGTATCCAAATATGCTTTTTGACATTATTTAAAGTGTCTTTGACATTCTTAAGTATGTTTGACATTCCTAAGTAAATTTGACATTTAGAAAAGTTTGTTTTAACATTCTTCATTAGGTCTAAATTCAGTTTGACATTTTAAAATTTGAATTTGACGTTCTTTAAAATGTTTTTGACATCATTGGTGAAGTTTTAGACCATGGAGCCTACACAAGGAGCCCGAACTTAATAGGGAAAATTGACAAAACCTGTCCACTAAATTGCACAATTTAAGTCTTTTTTTTTCACCACCAGCGGCGCTGCTTGTTAATGCGTCCGAATGACGTGAAAATAGTATCGAAAATACATGTGAAGTAAGCAAGTAAGTTTTGACAATTGATTTGCAATAATGTTTTGACGTACGAATCGTTTTGTTATTTATGGCAGTACCTGGTAGGTAGATGCTAATGAAAAGGTTTTGGTTGTGAAATATAAGTGATTCTTTATAATCTGTGAAGTGAACCAGGTACATGGGTACATTGTTTTCAGAAAGTGATAAACTGACAGTTGCATAACCTCAATTATTTGCACAATAATAAGTGGTAGGTAGTGGCGCCATCTCTGGTTATACCCCTCTACTGTTTTGGACCGGTAGTACACCAGCGCCCTCTTATCTTAGGAAGATTCTTGTTTACATGAAGTTCGGGCTCCTTGTGTAGGCTCCATGTTTTAGACATTCCCAAGTCATTTTGACATTTAAAAATTAGGTTTTGACTTCTAAATTTGTTTTTAAACTTTCTAAAGTTTGACATTTTAAAATTTTGATTTGACGTTCGAAAATGTGTTTTAACATCCTAACCTTTTACATTTTTTTAACTTTAGGACGTATACGGGGCTCTACAAGTGGTCCCAGCGTCTTCAGGGTACTGTCTAGGGTCAGCAAATTGGGTTATAACTTCGGACCACGAAAAAATCGTGTACTTGAGCGGCTCTAGCACGCTGACAACTCATCCCAGGCCCATGGACCACAATTCCATAAAAAATGCCGATGTTTTGATAATGACGGATCTAACACAGACTCCCATAAGCAACCCAGATTCGATGCTAGGGGTTTTGTGCGTCGTAGTCGGTATGTTGTCTAGTGTTTTGTCATTGTTGCTACGTTCAATGCACTGCCCTTGTGGAATTTTTTCCCTGAGAAAGTCTTACTTTCTGGAAGAGTTAATAAGACTTTTTAAGACTTAATAAGACTTTTAGTAGAGAAATGTTAGGTACCTATGGCGATAAAAATAAATATCCGAAATAATTTATAGAGGTTGTATTTGGTTATCGTAAAATAAAACACATAGAAAAGTATTTATTAACATTTTTGCTGTTGTTATAAGCCAAGTTTATTGCATAATTACCTATATAATAACATAGGTAAGATGTAATAATTATAACAATTATAATTTTATACATACGATGCGCTTGACATGCTTTCATTGTTTCCACCATAGAATTAACTCTTCCAGAAGACTTCCAAATCTTGCTATTAGTCTGACTTAATAAGACTTATTCAGACTTTTTCCGACTTAATAAGTCTTATTCTGACTTTTTCCGACTTAATAAGTATTATTCAGACTTTTTACGAGAAAGTAAGACTTTCTCAGAGAAAAATGTCCACAAGGGTGCACTTTTCTCTACAATTTGGGTTCTTTTAGGTATGACCCTGCGCGGTGGGGGTAACGTTTTGATACCGTGCTACCCCACCGGGGTCGTTTATGATTTATTCGAGTGTTTATCGGTGAAAATGCAAGAGTTGGGGGTGTCGAATTGCCCCATGTTTTTCGTATCGCCGGTTGCCGATATGTCGCTAGCGTATTCGAACATTTTGGCGGAATGGTTGTCATCAGCGAAACAAAACAAAGTTTACGTGCCGGACGAGTTGTTTCCGCACGCCATGCTGGTCAAGAATTCCAAGTTGAAGCATTTCAAGCACATTTATTCCGACGGGTTCAGTACCGACTTCCAAGAGCCCTGCGTGGTGTTTTGCGGCCACCCCTGCTTACGCTACGGCGACATAGTGCACTTCATAGAACTTTGGGGCAACAACCCGCGAAACTGCATAGTTTTTACAGGTACCCCCACTCCGCGCTTGTGACGTCACGTGCGAACCATATTCAAATGTTACAAACAGGCATGCGCTATGCGCGGGCGTTTTACTACGATTTCTTTTGAGTTTTTTTCGAAATTATTTTGTTTTCAAAGCATAAGCAACGCCAGATCGTTTTGCAACGTTTTTCGTACTGCATTTATTGAACAAATTTAAATAAATTTGTGCTTTAGACATTTTAAAAAGTGGTTTTGACATCCTCAGGGATGCTTTGACCAAATATGGTTTTTGAGATTCTTAAAATTGTTTTTGGCATTCCTAAAAAGTTTGACATTTTAAAATTTGGATTTGACGTTCTAAAATGTGTCAAAATATTCTTTTAGCCTTTCTTAAGAGTGTTTTTGACATCCTTAAGTATGTTTTGACATGCATAAGTAAGTTTGACATTAAAAATTTTGGATTTGACATTTACAATTATGCCTAAATTTGGTTTTAAACTTTTCAAAGTTTAAAATTTGAATTTGACGTTTTTAAATGTATCCAAACATGCTTTTTGACATTTTTTAAAGTGTCTTTGACATTCTTAAGTATGATTTGACATTCCTAAGTAAGTTTGACATTAAAAAATGTTGGGTTTGACATCCTCAATTAAGTCTAAATTAAGTTCTAAAGTTTGATATTTTAAAATTTGGATTTTGACGTTTTAAAATGTGTTTTGACATTTACAATTATGTCTGAATTTGTTTTAGAACTTTTCAAAGTTTAAAATTTGAATTTGACGTTCTTAAATGTATCCAAATATGCTCTTTAACATTCTTAAGTAAGTTTGACATTCAAAAATATTTTGTTGTTTGTCATTTTAAATTAAGTCTAAATTTCTTTTAAAAAAATTTAAAGTTTGACATATTAAAATTTGGATTTGATTTGTTATTGACATTCACATTTTAAGCATGTTTTGACATTCCCAATTAAATTTGACATTCACAAATGTTGGTTTTGACATTTCAAAATTTGTATTTGACGTTCTAAAATGTGTCAAAATATGCTTTTTTTCGTTTCTAAAAAGTGTTTTTGATGTTTTAGACATTCCCAAGTAATTTTGCAGTTTAAAAATTTGGTTTTGACATTCTCAATTATGCCTAAATTCAGTTTGACATTTTAAAATTTGGATTTGACGTTCTTTAAAATGTTTTTGACATCCTTGGTTAAGTTTTAGACATTCCCAAGTAATTTTGGATTTGACATTCTCAATTATGATTAAATTTCTTTTTAAAAATTCTAAAGTTTGACATTTATTGAAAAAATTAAAATAAATTTTCGAATATGCAGTGCAAATAACATTCCAACCCAGTTACCTGCCAGCTTTTGGTTCGCACATGACGTCACACGGCGCAAGAGAGATAGCTATAACATGCGCATCAGTTTTTGTGTATCGTGGGTACACCAACAAAATCACCAAACTTAACACCGCCTTATTGACATTTTTAGAACCAGATTTCGACTATATAGACGCTTTAGCGCCATACCAACCCCTACAAATGAAAGTGGCGCATTGCGCCATAGATACCTCGTTGAATTTCACCCAGGCCAACAAACTGATTAGGGATTTAAAACCCGCCACGTTGGTAGTACCAGAATGTTACACCCAGCCACCTGTGTCGGCGCCTCACTTGACAGAGTACACAATAGAAGCGGGAGGGGATAGAACTTTGATACCCTACAAATGGGGAGAGGTACGTTTATTTTGACGTTAAAACATATTTTTGACGTTCCAAATTTAGGTAATCAATCTACCATTGAAAAGAAAACAGGGGCAAGTGTTCATAGAAACAGCGGTGGCCCAAAAGATCGTCCCGGTGGAAATCAAATCCGGGGTCAGCCTGTCAACCATAACCGGGACTTTACAGGTTAAAGACAACGTTTACAACATACAGGTAGGGTTGCCAACGTACGAAAAAATCACCAGATTTTATTTACCGGTGTATCTTACAGGATTCCAACGATAAGCTAAAAAAATACGTGAAATACGAATGGGGTACGTTGAATGTAAACGAGTTCATACAAAAATTATCCCATGAAGGTATCAATGACGCTAAAGTTGAAACCCATGGGAGTGTTGTTGTGGTACACCTGGTGAGTGTCAAATTTGACAGTTGTATAACCTTAAATAACATTTTTATTTATTTTTTAGCAAGATGAGGACGCCCTTATACAATTGGAGGACAATAGTACTCATGTCGTCTGCAGTGGGGATGAAAAGGTTAGGACCAAGTTAAGAAATGCTGTGATGCAGTGTTTGAAAAAATTTTAGTGTAAAAATAAAAAGCGTTTTAAAAATAAAAAAATGTATTTTCCTGTAAACATAATCAACAAAATAATAACAACCTAAGCAACAACTTCTTCTGCGTCGATATTCGGTAGTTCCCCGTTTTTCGACTTCTCCCACGCGTTGTCGAAATTGTAACCAGATTCCACGCCAGGTCTGCCAACCAAATGCGGTTTTGGCTTAAAGTTCTCTATAATTAAATCCAAAGCAACTCTGTCTTCGTAGGAATAACCGACTATGTACTCGAACAATTCTTGCGGTGTCTTCATTTCTGGTACGCCTTTTTTGGTGAAATAATTGGTGATATTTTCGCAGTCCCTCATCAAAAAATGAAAAGAATTTAAGTGCGAAGGTTCCACGGATTGACTGACGTCGATAAAGTAACACGTTTTTTTGTGGTACAAAATGTTGTATTCGGATAAATCTGCGTGAACCAAATTCGCTTTTTGGTACAAAGATTTCATGTCCTCTATTATCTGAAATTAAGAAAAAACACTTTTGACATTATGGCCAGGGTTGCCAACTTCAAGTAAAAATTGGAGATTTTACTCAAGAAAAAGTAAAAAAAATTAAAAGCAATCAAAAAAGTAAAAAAAAAGTCCCTGAAACATCAGGTTAAACTTGAAGAGCTGGAAACCCTGCTTATGGCTCGAAATGTCTCGAAAAACCGTTACGGTTGCCATGGCAACCGTACGGTTGCTAGTCACTTATTAACATTGCTAGGGAATTAAAAAAAGAAGTAAGCAAATCACAAAAAAATTAGAAAATAAATTTCAAAAAAAGATAAAAAGGTAAAGGTAAAAAGTTTAAAAAAATTGAAGAAAATCAAAAAAACTTAAGAAAGTTTTTTTCCAGAAACCTGAGGATTGGCGAATCTGCTTATGGCTCGAAATGGCACAAAAAAACGTTACCATGGTTGCTAGGAACTTTTACAGTTGCTAAGAAATAAAAAGTAAAAAAATTACAGAGGCAGAAAAATTAAAAGAAAAGCAAAAAACATAAAATTCAAACCAAGCCAAAAAGTCAAAAAATAAAATAAAAAAGGCAAAAACAAAAAAATATAAAGAAATAAAAAAAAGTAAAAAGAAGCAACAAAGAATAAAAAGAAACAAAATAACCAAAAAAGTTTAAACAAATTAAGAAAGTATTTTTTCCTGAAAGGATTGGCAACCCTGCCTCTTACTAAACGTCACGTATCGAAAAGCGTTAACGTTGCTATGGCAACGGTTTCTATAGCAACTGTATACAGTTGCAATATATTGTTGCTAGGTACTTGTTTACCGTTGCTAGGGCCGCTATTTTCCTTAGTAACCGCTACGTTTTTCGAAATTAATAAAAAAAACGCCGATTTTTATTATTACTATTACCTACTGAATAAAACAAAAAATTACCTGTTCATAGGCGACTATGTATTCAGCATCCGTCAATTTGGTATCTTTCAACTTGGGAGCGGCTCTATGATTCTCGCCGATAAACGACATAACCAAAACGTGTTTTTTCAATTCGACAACGTCGGGGCAAGGTATACCGGCCCTTTTGAGCCTTATCAAGTTCGCCATCTCCTTTTGAGCCCACAAATTCACAGTCTTCCTCGCCTCCAAATTCCCAATACGATTTTTAAACCTATGGTCGTCTTTTATGTACTTATCCCGCTGTTTGAACTCGCTCAGAGTCGTTTTGAACACTTTAATGGCGCATTCCTTCGGCACTTGGACTTTCTCGTTGGTGCTGTCGCCGTCCGCGTGTATGATCACGGCCTCTTTGCCTTAAAACCGCAAAAAATGATTTTACAACCTCAAAACGTCATAATTTGACGGTTGCATAACCTCAAACGTCAAAATCTGACATCTCTTGGCCCTAAAACCGCAAAAATTAATTTTATAACCTCAAACGTCATTTTTGACAATTGCATAACCTCAAACGTCAAAATCTGACATATATTTGCCTTAAAACCGCAAAAGTTGTTTTTATAACCTCAAAACGTAATATTTTGACGGTTGCTACCTCAAACGTCACGTTTTGACAGTTGCATAACCTCAAACGTCAAAATCTGACATCTCTTTGCCTCAAAACCGCAAAATTGATTTTTTAACCTTAAAACGTCATATTCTGACGGATGTTACCTCAAACGTCAAAATCTGACATTTCTTTGACTTAAAACCGCAAAAATTGATTTTATAACCTTAAATCTTCACATTTTGACGATTGCATAACGTCAAACGTCAAAATCCGATCTCTTTGTCTTAAAATTGCAAAAAATGATTTTATAACATTAAAACATCATATTTTGACGGTTGCATAACCTCAAACGTCAAAACAGACATCTCTTGGCCTTAAAATTGCAAAAGTTGATATTATAACCTAAAAACCTCATATTTTGACGGTTGCTTAACCTCAAACGTCTAAATCTGTAATCTCTTTGCCTTAAAACCGAAAAAGTTGATTTAATAACCTTAAAACGTCATATTTTGACGGATGTTACCTCAAACGTCAAAATCTGACATTTCTTTGACTTAAAACCGCAAAAATTGATTTTATAACCTCAAAACGTCACATTTTGACGATTGCATAACGTCAAACATCAAAATCCGATCTCTTTGTCTTAAAATTGCAAAAATTGATTTTATAACCTTAAAACATCATATTTTGACGGTTGCATAGCATCAAAAGTCAAAACTGACATCTTTTGTCCTTAAAATTGCAAAAGTTGATATTATAACCTCAAAACGTCATATTTTGACGGTTGCATAACCTCAAACGTCTAAATCTGTAATCTCTTTGCCTTAAAACCGAAAAAGTTGATTTAATAACCTTAAAACGCCATATTTTGACGGATGTTACCTCAAACGTCAAAATCTGACATTTCTTTGACTTAAAACCGCAAAAATTGATTTTATAACCTCAAAACGTCACATTTTGACGATTGCATAACGTCAAACGTCAAAATCCGATCTCTTTGTCTTAAAATTGCAAAAATTGATTTTATAACCTTAAAACATCATATTTTGACGGTTGCATAACATCAAAAGTCAAAACAGACATCCAGCGGCGTAACTAGAAAAAGTGCCGCCCGGGGCAGCAGTGGCTGTCGCCATCATGTTTTTTTTGGGGGGGGGAAGAGAGGTTAGGTTAGGAGTCAGTTTTGAGGACCGTACGCAAAATTAAAAATATATAATTATATATATAACATATACACTATTGGACAAAAGTAAAGCAACAACTGTATAAAAAATCTAACCCCAAAACGCCTTTATTATTCTTTAAGAAATTTTGGATAAAAATATTTGAACTTAAATTTCAGTTTACGTGTTTAAGGGTTTTTTGTATTTTTAAAGCCCATTTTTTAATATTAAAAAAACCTTCGAAAAATAATTTTTACGGAAATTTTTTTTCAAGTAAATAAAAAATATACTGTTAAATACCGTATTTTTGTTAGTATACCCTGAAAATTTTGTACAAATCAAATGAACAGTAACGAAGATACAGCGATTCAAAGTCGTCAAAAATGACCACTTTTCAGCAAAATAATCAAAAAAGGGTCATTTTTACCGACTTTGAAGCACTGTATCTTCGTTACTGTTCATTTGATTTGTACAAAATTTTTAGAGTATACTAACAAAAATACGGTCATTAACAGAATATTTTTTATTTACTTGAAAAAAAAATTCCGTAAAAGTTATTTTTCGAACGTTTTTTTAATATTAAAAAAATGGGCTTTAAAAATATTTTCTCAAAAAACCCTTAAACACGTAAACTGAGATTTAAGTTCAAGTATTTTTATCCAAAATTTCTTAAAGAATAATAAAGGCGTTTTGGAGTTGGATTTTTTATACAGTTGTTGCTTTACTTTTGTCCAATAGTGTATATATATATATAACATTAAATTGTAATATTTTAAGAATTAAAAACAAACAAAAATTCTTAGACCTAGGTAAAGAAAAACAACAAATAAAATGTGCTTTAACATAATTTATATGAAAAAAACAGAGATAAATTCTCAACCTTATGTAAAAGTACCTACAAAAAAAACTTAAACCTGAGTAAAAAATAAATAAAAATGTTTAAATATTTAGAATACCGGTCTTGTTTCTATTTTTTGCTAGCTTTATTTGATTTGGAATATTTTGGGAGTAATTGTATAAATCTCAAATCTATTGGAATTTGAATTATATTATTTCCAAAGAGAATATTTAATTATCAAATATTTTTTTTATTTTTATATTCTGTCTTCCAGTTTTTTTCGCATTTTCTCTCACGATTTTTGCCGCCCCAAGAAGTGCCGCCCGGGGCGGACCGCCCCCCCCGCCCCCCCCCTAGTTACGCTACTGCAGACATCTTTTGTCCTTAAAATTGCAAAAGTTGATATTATAACCTCAAAACGTCATATTTTGACGGTTGCATAACCTCAAACGTCTAAATCTGTAATCTCTTTGCCTTAAGACCGAAAAAGTTGATTTAATAACCTTAAAACGCCATATTTTGACGGATGTTACCTCAAACGTCAAAATCTGACATTTCTTTGACTTAAAACCGCAAAAATTGATTTTATAACCACAAAACGTCATATTTTAACGATTGCATAACGTCAAACGTCAAAATCCGATCTCTTTGTCTTAAAATTGCAAAAATTGATTTTATAACCTTAAAACATCATATTTTGACGGTTGCATAGCATCAAAAGTCAAAACTGGCATCTTTTGTCCTTAAAATTGCAAAAGTTTATATTATAACCTCAAAACGTCATATTTTGACGGTTGCATAACCTCAAACGTCTAAATCTGTAATCTCTTTGTCTTAAAACCGAAAAAGTTGATTTAATAACCTTAAAACGCCATATTTTGACGGATGTTACCTCAAACGTCAAAATCTGACATTTCTTTGACTTAAAACCGCAAAAATTGATTTTATAACCACAAAACGTCATATTTTGACGATTGCATAACGTCAAACGTCAAAATCCGATCTCTTTGTCTTAAAATTGCAAAAATTGATTTTATAACCTTAAAACATCATATTTTGACGGTTGCATAACATCAAAAGTCAAAACAGACATCTTTTGTCCTTAAAATTGCAAAAGTTGATATTATAACCTCAAAACGTCATATTTTGACGGTTGCATAACCTCAAACGTCAAAATCTGACATCTAACCTATGCTGATGATGCCGTTGACTTGGTCCAGCAGAGCCCTGTTGATCATCTTGTACAAAATGAGCTGCGTGTATTCGTCCATTCCGAATTCAGCGGTGGCTTGATCCTCCTTTTTGTCGTGAAATTTATGTCTGCGCGCCTGCTCGTTTTTCGAGTGCATTTTGAGGCTGTTGAAAACTTTGTTCGATATTTTCAGGTCGAAGTCTTCGCCGTCACCCGTGCAAAATTCCGGGGGAAACGCGAGCAGCTTGCACGCGTTTTTTCTTCCGTTCATGTCGACGTCGTGTTTTGTGACAATGCTGCCGTCTGGATTTACTTTGTACCCGGTTTTCGGGATGTCGTTGTATTTACGCAGAACGTCGTCGAATCTGTCCCAGTCTTTTCGGTCCAATATGTCCGTTATTTCTTCTTCCTCCGAGTCAGATTCGAAATCTGCAAAGATTTTGACGTTTTAAAGTGTTTTTTGACATTCTTAAATGTGATTTTGACCAGTGTTGCCGCGCTGAATTTCTAAAATGTACTTTGCGGAAGCAATAAAATGTACTAGATTGTACTAGATTTACAATAAAGTGCAACATTGCCGTTTTTCATAGAATGTACCTTAGGGTGTTGCAAAAAAAAACTAAAATTATTTTTTTTTCTAATGGTGTTGAAAAATTAATAGTACATTAAAAAAACAAAAATTTTGGCGCATATTTGAGCTCTTAATATTAAGGTTTGCCTCAATTCATTTGTTGTTTTTCCATTTCAATAACACGGGAATTTTTATTTTTTAAATTTTGAATTCTTATAACTTTGGAATGGTTTGTTTTTGCAATACCCAAGCGAGAGGAGTTATAGACAATTTCACGCTCTACAAAAAACATATGAAGGTCAAAGTTCTTCAGGTCAACCGTTTCAAAGATATCAGCGATCAAAAATAACACTAATAAAAAATTTCAAATATTTTCAAATAAGATACAAAAAAATATCATATGCCATATTTATATTATTTTTTATACTACATTCGATGCTAGTCATTAGGTTTGTTCGGGTTGCACTGGCAACGCCGCACTTCTTATGTCAATTAAACTTGACGTAAGCAATGCGATGTTGCCACACAAAATTTGATGCCGCGTTATTCAAAGTCAAAAATTGCCGGTGTCGTTTTTTTCGGTAATTCTCCTTTATTTTTCACAATGTTAAAATGTACTAGACTAAGGGACATTTGTAAGAAAATGTACTTTTGTACTGAGTTCTTCAAAATGTACTAGATTTAGTACAAATGTACTAGAACGGCAACACTGATTTTGACATTTTAAATATTTTTGACATCCTATTAAGCTTTTGACAATCTGAAATGTTTTTGACAGTCCAAAACATTTTGACACATGAAAATTTGATGTGTACAATATTTTAGAAAGAATTTAAACGAAAAATATACTTTTAGGTTAAAATGAGGTTATATTTACCAAAAGAATATGGGGCTCTCTTATAATTCTCGAAAGATACTGAAACTTTGGAACCCCCATTATACTTTTCTGCGGTACGTTGTAAATTATCGTCGTACTCTTTATTAAACTGCATCTGAAGCATTTTTGCAATCATCTCGTCTGATTCATAGGTTTCGCTCGAAATGGCTTTCAGCACATCAACGGGAATATTTTCTTCACTCTTCATGGTTTTCACTTCTTCGGTTGTTTCCACGTTTTTAAAAGATTTTTTTTCTTCTTTTGCCTGCAAATCTCTTGCTACCTCTTCAGACATGATGTCTTCGAAGTTAACAGGTTCGGGTTTCTCAATTTTAGCCCAAGGGCACGACATTCTGTTTTTATTCGTTGCTCTTTAAACTCTAAATGATACTAATGTAATAAACAATACGCTTAACTATAAAATAAACACAAAAACAGTTAAGAAATGTTGTGCAATATTTTGAGAAATGTCAAGTGTTTAAGGGTGATTCACAATAATATTTTGAATGAGATAACCAACAAAAAACGATTAAATTACTTTTTATTGGACAATAAACTGTTATTTTACTGTTATTTTGTTAACTTGTGCAATATAAGTAAAAATGTATCGTTATTTGGACTTTTTTAGTTAAATATTAAATGTTATAAAAAGTGTGAACCTGTAAAATTAGTAGTTAAAATGTACCGTATATGTCAAATATTTATAAAATAAATGTTTATTTTTGAGAATAAATAACATTTTAATTTGTCATTTTTTTACAATAAAAGTGAACTAAATATCTAATTTTTAGCATTTATTCTCTATTTTTGAGTAAATATGGCGCAATATTAGACATTTTAAGCAAATAGTTCGTTTGACTTATATATGTCAAATTCCCACATTTTGGCAACACTGGATACACAGATTGGATTGTGATTGGATTAGAGGTGGGAAGTTTAGTTCACTTTCCTGATTTCGATCTTTCGATCTCGTTCATTAAAGTGAATAGTACAAAAGACTAGTTCGTTTAGTTCACTGATTTATAATCGGATTTGTCGGATTTACGTAGTTTCGTTCGCGAACTACACTTCTCTAGTAGTTCAAGTGAACTATATTGAGATTGATTGATTGATTTGCACCAAAGAAGTGTTCTTGGAATTGCACTTGCTGCTGGTCAAAATGGTACGCTGTTGCCAAAACCATTAAGTGGTTGATTTGGTTGCCTATTTTAGGGACAATTACGAATTTGCGTGAAAAAAAAATCCATTAGTAAATACGGATATAATGAAATATATCTACGGATTTTTAGTTTAGTTCGAATTGATTCGCTCTTTTTAGTTTTGGTGATTGAATCTTTTAGTTCAGTTAGGAAATTCGATCTTTTGAACTAGTTCGTTCGCGAACTACACACCTCTAGATTGGATATAAAATCGACAAACTATTAATAATTAGGTAATTTCTCGGTACCTAATATTATTGCAATATTTCGTCGATAAAATCGAAATAAATGACTCAACATCATTAAAAGAAACTAAATACCTAGATTATTATCTCATTACAATGGGATAAGCATAAAATTATAATAATCCCGGTAATTAGGGGAACGAAAAGAAAACATTAAAGGTCATTCGATTGCGCGTGCGCCCGCTGTCGCAACGAGTTTTTGACAGTTGTACTGTCAAACGCGTAGCAATTGACGTGTTCAGTTTCGGGCGAATAAAAATGTTTGCCAGCACAATTTGGGCAAAAATTGACTGATTATGACTTACATTTAACGTTTTTAGTGCTTAGTTTAAGTTAAATTACCGCAATACGTACGGGTTCGGTGATTTTTTTGGGTAAAAATAAACTGTGATATATTTTAGTGCGAATTGTAATGTTAACAGTGTTTTAAACGTGTGTTGTTGTTTTAATTTGGGACAATGTTGCATGGGAAATTGAGGATACACACCTGCAGGGTTATACTGTTGACCTCTTTAGTATGGTTTTTAGTTGATGTGGTTATTTTGTCGTTTTACTCGGAATGTCTGGGAGGCAGTTGCAAAAAAGGTGTAGAGGACAATGTTATAGCCGAGAAATTAATCGGCGAAGACTTTGAAAATGTAGAAAACAATGCCGTGGAACCTGTGCATCATAGGGCAGCCCCCAGTCAAAGGTAGGGGTCAATTTTATTGATATAACTGCCTCAAGAGTGTCAGTTGCCTTTGGGATGTTAATTTATACAAAATATCCAAAAAAATATTCTTTACATTGGTTCCCCCCTTAATAATCAATTAAGAGCGTAAAATTTATTTTTAATTACAATTATTTGAATTCAAATTTATAATTTAATGCTTTCTTGTAGAAATAATTAACCACAATTAAGATGTGGTTAATTTTATGTTAACAAACACTTAAATAATTACTGTAATAGGTAGAGAAACCATAATTTTTATATACTATTTAGGTAAGTGAAGTAAGCCCACATTTGCCTTATCTAAATCTGGGTATTTCTAAACAGTTATGTTAATAGCCACATTTGCATTTTTGTTATTTACATGTGGTTTAAAAATTGATAAGAACGTAAAAATGAAAATGAAAATACATTGTTTTGAAATATCGTACATTTTAAAACTACTATTGAATTTGAAAATGTTTTTTTACTTTAAAAAATGGTCCAAACTCTGAGATTGTACAAAATTATTTTTTTTTATTTGGACTTGTGTTTTTTTATTAAGTTGGTAGCTTATGCCAGTTTGATTTAGTATTTTTAGTATTTAAAAAATGGTACTTCTGCTGAAGACCTTAATTACTCCGACACTGTCAAATTGACAGTAATATTTATTATTGATAATTTTCTTGTTAATTATTATATAATATTGATATAAAAAGATAACTAGGTATGTCAAAAATAATATCAGATTCTAAAGTAAAAGAACTTTTAAAAAATGCCCCAAATGGCAGAAAAAGTACATCGCCTTATGGACATTTTTGGAGTAAAAAACTAACGTTTTTGGTTTTACAAATAGGTATTAAATCACACATTAAATCAGCTAAGCAGATCAAATTTTTTTGAAATTTTAAAAAATAAGGGTAAATAAAAAAACAAAAAATAAAAATTATTTGCTGTTAGGTTTAACCTTTTTGTGAAAAATCTAGTAGTTAATTTTCCTGTCTTTGAAAATAGCATTTAATTGGTTTGAAAAAGATAAGAAATAATCACGAAACTTTTTCTTCTTTCAATTTGCAAGTTACAGTCCTGGACAATATATAAATTATAATTATTATTAAGCCACTACAAGTATAAACGTCCAGTAGCTTTAACAAAATACCCATTCACCATTGAAGTCCAATGATTGGACAACATTCACGTGTGTTCACATAAAATTTTAATTTCTTTTATATAAATTCTTTTCAAAGCGCAGATTATTATCCGCTAGGAATACTTTGCCTCTCCTTGGCCGTAGTCACCTATATTTAACTATTTTTTATATGATTTTACTCATCTATGCACCACCAAAGCCAAATTAATTACATTTTAACTACGAATTTTGACAACTCTACTTGACAACCGTTCAATGTAACCTACAATAATTTAAACATAACCACAATTACATTATAATTACATTTATAACAGTTAACCATGGTTTAGTTTGTTTTAATCAATGCAACCAATTTTGGTTTCGTATTTACCAACCAAACCTCTAAATTTGCAACGTTGCGGCAGTCCAGATAAAAAAATTAACATTTTTTTAAACGTCAAAACTTTTTGACATTTAAAATATATGTTATAATTTAAAAAAAATGGCTTCCTGAACTGTTTAAAAGTTTTACATAAACTATAGTTTGAAACGGTATTTTCAAAAATAAATAAGTAAAATATGACATCTGTCAAACAGTTCTAACCTTAATGGAAACCATTTTTTTAAATAAAAAAATATATTTTAAATGTCAAAAAACGTTTTAATGTTTTTGTCAGATTGAATTGTGCATATTTTGACATTCCAAAACAAGTTTTTGACATCCCCAGCGTATTTCGACATTCTAGAAACCTGTATCAGACATTTTTTACGTTTTTGACACACAAAACTTTTTCTTAACACACAAAACTTTTTCTTAGTAGGCACCACGTGTCCAGTATATCGCGGACGTATCAGACGTCGGCGTTGCGTCGCTGGAAACCGGCGCCTACTGTGATGCCGGTGGGAAAGCGCCCGGGTGAGCACGGAAAACCCGTTCACATACCGTCGGAAAAGGAAGCGGAAATGAAGGAAAAGTTCAAGCTAAATCAGTTCAATCTGCTGGCCAGCGACATGATTTCGCTTAACAGGTCCTTGTCCGACGTCAGATTGGAGGGGTAAGTCGAAAAAAATCGTCGAAAAAAAATGCTTTTCCCTCAATATGAAACATAAAGTCTATTTTAGACCACTGTGTCTTGTACATTCACCAGAGATCAACCTTCTTTTGCTGACCTTGGTATTTAGATTCTATAGCGAGAATTTCACATTTTTTGCATACTTAAATGTTATTGTTTAAATAAAGTTTATTCTTCATATACGCTGAGATAAATAAACCTGATATGGGCCATTCCATGACGAACGATACTAAGGGTGAACAAATAAATATGTTTTTTTCGCATTAAATCTGATGAATTTTGAAAGAAAATATTCCGAATTGCAATGTGCGACAAAAAACACGCGAAGCGATGGAATGACCCATATGTTTTTTACATTTTAAGATGTATTTTTAACATTTTTAACATTCTATAGCGAGAATTTCACATTTTTTGCATAAATGTTATTGTTTAAATAAAGTTTATTCTTCATATACGCTGAGATAAATAAACCTGATATGACAAACGATACGAAGGGTGAAAAAATAAATATGTTCTTTTCGCATTAAATCTGATGAATTTTGAATTGCAATGTGCGACAAAAAAAACACGCGAAACGATGGAATGACCCATATGTTTTTTACATCTTAAGATGTATTTTTAACAATCTTTTGTGATTTGTATAGGTGCAAATACAAAAAATACCCGACATTACTACCCACAACGTCGATAGTTATAGTTTTTCACAACGAGGCGTGGTCTACCTTACTGAGAACGGTTTGGAGCGTGATAAATCGCTCTCCGAGACCTTTACTGAAAGAAATAATTCTCGTGGACGACGCTAGCGAGAGGGATCACCTCGGTAGAAAGCTAGAGGAGTACGTCAAAACTCTGCCGGTCAGAGTTTTCGTTCTGCGTACGGAAAAACGATCGGGTTTGATCAGGGCCAGACTGTTGGGTGCGAAACACGTCACCGGGCAGGTCATAACGTTCCTGGACGCCCACTGCGAATGCACGGAGGGCTGGTTGGAGCCCCTTTTGGCTAGAATCGTGCAGGATAGAAAGACAGTGGTGTGCCCCATCATAGACGTCATCTCGGACGAGACGTTTGAGTACATCACAGCTTCAGACATGACGTGGGGAGGTTTCAATTGGAAGTTGAACTTTAGATGGTAAATTTAACGTTTTTATGGCACGCCGTTTTAGCTTTTATTAGATTGTTTGAACTCAAAACAATTTATATATTATCCCAGATAGCAAAATGAATTCACTATGAATTCACTACGAATTCACGCGTGAAAATTAAATTCACGCGTGAATTCATATAACGCGACAGATGAGTCCTCAATTGATGCTCAATTTGCCATCACGCGTGAACTTTTTATTTTTTGCGCATGCGCTTTTAGAATATGGATTTCATTTTTCAAAATAATTTAATCTGTCGAAATATTTATTTTAACACCTTAAAAAAATACACAAAAACTTGGTTTAAAAGGCCATAATTGAGAAGCAATCAGACTAAACCAGGTAAATCCATTTCGACTTTTTGAATGGTTCCTATTTCTTTTGTTCAGATAAATCCATTGGAAATATCTATTTCAAGCTAAACTTGTTATCATAATATGATATGATCATAATATTAATATTAATATTATATAATAATTATTATATTATATACTAATATTAATATTAGTATATAATATATATATTATTATAATAAGTTTATCTTGAAATTCACTTTTCCAATTGATTTATCCGACTAAAAGAAATATGAATCATTCAAGAAGTCAAAATGGATTTATCTGGTTTTGGTTGATTGCTCCTCATTTATAGGTTATACATTACAATTATAACCTTAAGGTTAACTAATTAATTAATTAATATATAATATACATATATTAATTATTAATGTACCTATAACTGTTATAGGTACATTAATAATTGTTATAGTATAACATATGTTAACATATAACATATAACATATATATAATTGTGACCTTTTAAACCAATATATATTATGTAATTATATATATTACTATAATATATATGATTATAATAATATATATCAGTGGCGGATTGGGGATTTTGGGTATACCAATATCTCACTTATTAGACGTGGGACCCACTCCAAATTTATAATGACATTAAATAGACAAGTTCTGCGCAAACAGAATTTAAATTAAAGTTTGCGAAAAAAAGTTAGTTTTTTGTGTCGCCTTACCTGGCTTCTGGCCCCCCCATTTGGGATAATTCAAATTAAAGTGGTGCAATTTATACTCCACTATAATTTATCGACAAATTTAAAATTTTATTTAAAAAATTTAAATATTACAGATTTTATACGATTTTAAATTTTTATTATTTATTTTATTATAATAAAAAAATATTTAATATGGTATAAAATCTGTAATATTTGGATTTTTCAAATAAAATTTTAAATTTACCGATAAATTATAGTGAAGTATAAATTGCACAACTTTAATTTGAATTATCTCAAATGGGGGGGGCCAGAAGCCAGGTGAGGCGACACAAAAAACTAACTTTTTTTCGCAAACTTCAATTTAAATTCTGTTTGCGCCGAACTTGTCTATTTAATGTCATAATAAACTATTATAAATTTGGTGTGGGTCCCATGTCTAATAACTGAGATATTGGTATACCCAAAATCCCCAATCCGCCACTGATATATATTATAATATATAATTATATAACTACTTATAACTTAATATATTATATAATTAATACATATAATAATTAATTTGTGTATTTTAAAACATTTAAAATAAAGATTGTGACTGAAAATGTCTTATGACATGGGGAAAGGGAGGGTGTTACCAGAGATAATTATAATTTATTATAATGACATACAATATTAAATGAAAATATATTAATATAATATTTTTGATATTAGAATATTAATATTCTATTTATATTTAAACGTGCAGTTTTTAATCATGCAATCCATGTATTTTAAAATAAAATCGATTAAATCACACGAGACTATAATATGAATTCATAATCTACTCACGTGTGAATTACGAGTTCAAGACTTCACGTGTGAAATCATATAGCACACATTATTCACTCACGCGTGATTTCGTATTCACGTTTGCTATCTGGGATGATTTAAGCATTCTAAGTGTAATTTTGACTGTCTTAAGCCAATTTGGACATTCTAAATTTGTTTTTGACGTTTTGAAACATTCTAAAATGTGTTTTTAACATTCTACATTTGATTGTAACATTCTTACTTTGAAAATGTGTTTTGATTTCTGAATATTCTAAAGTTTGCTTTTGACATTTAAATATTATGATTTAAACATTCTAAGTGTAATCTTAAACCCACTTGGAGTTTCTAAAATTTGTTTTTGATGTTTTGAAACATTCTAAAATGTCTTTTGACAGTTTAAAATATGTTTGGACATTCTAAAATTGCTTTTTGACATTTTAAAGCCGTTTGAAAATTCCAAAATTTGTTTTTGACATTCAAAATATTTTTTCTGAATATTCTAAAGTTTGCTTTTGACATTTAAATATTATGATTTAAACATTCTAAGTGTAATTTTGACTGTCTTAAACCAACTTGGAGATTCTAAAATTTGTTTTTGACGTTTTGAAACATTCTAAAATGTGTTTTTAACATTCTACATTTGATTGTAATATTCTCACTTTAAAAAAGTGTTTTGACAGTTTAAAGTGCTTTTTGACATTTCAAATTATGGTTTTAACATTCTAAATGTGATTTTGTAATTTTAAAGCCGTTTAAAAGTTCTAAAATTTGTTTTTGACATTCTTAATGCGATTTCTGAATATTCTAAAGTTTGCTTTTGACATTTAAATATTATGATTTAAACATTCTAAGTGTAATTTTGACTGTCTTAAACCAATTTGGACGTTCTAAATATTTTTTTTGACTTTTTGAAACATTCTAAAATGTGTTTTGACAGTTTAAAATATGTTTGGACAGTCTAAAACTACTTTTTGACATTTCAAATTATGGTTTAAACATTCTAAATCTGATTTTGAAATTTTAAATCCGTTTGAAAACTCCAAAATTTGTTTTTGACATTCTTAATGTTACTTCTGAATATTCTAAAGTTTGCTTTTGACATTTAAATATTATGACTTAAACATTCTAAGTGTAATTTTGACTGTCTTTAACCAATTTGGACGTTCTAAAATTTGTTTTTGACGTTTTGAAACATTCTAAAATGTGTTTTTAACATTCTACATTTGATTGTAACATTCTTACCTTAAAAATGTATTTTGACAGTTTAAATATGTTTGGACATTCTAAAATTGCTTTTTGACATTTTAATTTATGGTTTAAAAATTCTAAATGTGATTTTGACATTTTAAAGCCGTTTGAAAATTCTAAAATTTGTTTTTGACATTCTTAATGTTATTTCTGAATATTCTAAAGTTTGCTTAATTAAGAGATTTAAATATTATGATTTAAACATTCTAAGTGTAATTCTAAAATTTGTTTTTGACATTCTTAATGTTATTTCTGAATATTCTAAAGTTTGCTTAATTAAGAGATTTAAATATTATGATTTAAACATTCTAAGTGTAATTTTGACTGTCTTAAACCCACTTGGAGATTTTAAAATTTGTTTTTGACGTTTTGAAACATTCTAAAATGTGTTTTTAACATTCTACATTTGATTTTAATATTCTTACTTTAAAATGTGTTTTGACAGTTTAAAATATGTTTGGACAATCTAAAACTGCTTTTTGACATTTCAAATTATGGTTTAAACATTCTAAATGTGATTTTGACATTTTAAAGCCGTTTCAAAATTCTAAAATTTGTTTTTGACATTCTTAATGCGATTTCTGAATATTCTAAAGTTTGCTTTTGACATTTAAATATTATGATTTAAACATTTTTGACTGTCTTAAACTCACTTGGACATTTTAAAATTTGTTTTTGACGTTTTGAAACATTCTAAAATGTGTTTTTAACATTCTACATTTGGTTGTAACATTCTTACTTTAAAAATGTGTTTTGACAGTTTAAAATATGTTTGGACATTCTAAAATTGCTTTTTGACATTTGAAATTATGATTTAAACAAATTTGAATTTTACATCTAAAGGGATTTTGACGTTTTAAACCATTTTTTCAAAAATTGATTGAAAATAATATTGAACTGTTAGTTAGTAAATGTCTTTCAATAATGATATTTTAAAATTAGGAAAATTTTAAACCAATACAATTTTAAATTAAAAAATGATTTAATAAATGTTAAAATAGCGTGCCATACGTTTTCCTCTGAAATTCTCGGATCGACATCGTTCATTTTAGGTACAGAGTCCCACAACGCGAGATGGACAGAAGAGGGGGGGATAGAACCGCCCCCCTGCGCACCCCCACCATGGCAGGGGGGTTGTTCTCGATAGACAAGGATTACTTTTACGAACTAGGTTCGTACGACGAGGGAATGGACATTTGGGGCGGCGAAAACTTGGAGATGTCCTTCAGGGTGAGTCTAACCTCAAAATTACCGCTTTCTCTTGCAGCGCAACGTTGCCGCTTCGACTTCGTTCGCCGTATTAAACGTGTAATTTTGTGACGTTAGGTGTGGCAATGCGGCGGCATTTTGGAGATAATCCCGTGCTCGCACGTTGGGCACGTGTTCCGCGACAAGTCGCCGTACACGTTCCCGGGGGGCGTGTCCAAGATAGTGCTGCACAACGCCGCCAGGGTGGCCGAGGTGTGGATGGACGAGTGGCGCGACTTTTATTACGCGATGAACCCAGGTTTGATCATTTTTGCGTTTGTTCTGGTCGAGATTTAAAAAAAAAACAAAAAAAAAACAACTACGAAGCGAACAGTGTTGCCAAGTTTTGACAGGTAGAAACACGTTTAAACTTGCCGGATGTGAGGGGGACTGGAGCCAATGCCACTAACTGATACTAATATTTTTTTGAAAGCTGCTTGTTGCTCGTAATGAATACTAATATTTGGCTTTTTTACTTTTTGTATGTGTTTTTGACAGTTTTAAACATCCTTGGACATTCTAATATGATTTTGACATTTTTAAACATTCTAAAATGTGCTTTTCACAGATTTAAATATGTTTTGACATTTGGAAATTCCAAAATTTGTTTTTGGCATTATAAATGTATTTTCCGAATATTCAAAAGTTTTTTCTTGACATCCTAAATATGAATTTGACATTTTGAAACATTCTTAAATGTGTTTTTAACATTTTTACATTTAAAATTTTGCGTTTGCATAGGTACATACATTCTTAATATGATTTTGACATTTTTAAACCCATTTTGAAATTCTAAAATTTATTTTTGACACATTCTAAATGTTTTTGACAATTTAAAATGTGTTTTTGGAGTTTTAAATATCTTTGTGAACTAAAATGATTTTGACGTTTTGAAACATTTAAAAATGTATTTTTAACATTTTAAATTTGTTTCGAAAATTGCTTTTTTACATTTCAAATTATGATTATTAAACATTCTAAATGTGATTTTGACATTTTAAAGCCGTTTGAAAATTCTAAAATTTGTTTTTGACATTCTTACATTAAACAAATTGCTTTTAACATTTTAAATGTGATTTTGGCAAAAATCTTTCTAAACTCATTAAAGATTTTGACGTTGTAAAATTGATTTCAACATTTTTACATTTAAAATGTGTTTTTGACAGTTTAAAATATGATATTCCTTTTTGACATTTCAAATTATAATTTAAAAACTCTATATGTGATTTTGACATTCGAAAGCCGTTTAAAAATTCTGAAATAAATTTTTGGCATTCTAAATGTGATTTCCGAATATTCTAAAATTTGCTTTTGACATTTTATGATTTAAACATTCTAAATGTAATTTTGACTGTTAAACCCATTTGGACAAATTTGATTGTAACACTTTTACTTTAAAAATGTGTTTTGACAGTTTAAAATATGTTTGGACATTCTAAAATTGCTTTTTGACATTTTAATTATGATTTAAACGTTTAAAAAAATGTTATTTTTACATTCTGAAGCCATTTGAAAATTCTAAAATTTGTTTTGACATGTGATTTTGACAGTTTTATACATATACATACATATTTGTACATTCTTAAATGATTTTGACGTTTTGAAACATTCTAAAATGTGTTATTAACATTCTTGCATTAAAAAATTTGCTTTTGACATTTTAAAATCTGTTTTAAGAGTTTTAAACATATTTGTCAACTCAAAAGTGATTTTGACGCTTTAAAACATTTTAAAATTGATTTTAAGATTTTTACATTTAAAAATGTGTTTTTGACAGTTTAAAATATACGTCCACATAAACAAATTGCTTTGTAAATTAAAATTATTTTAACATTTTGAAACATGACATTGATTTTAACGTTCTTACATTTAAAAATGTGTTTTTGACAGTTTTAAACATCTTTGTGAAGTCTAAAATGATCTTGACGTTTTGAAACGTTCTAAAATATGTTTTTTAACATTAAAATTTGCTTTTGACATTTAAAATTAGGATTTAAACGTACTAAATTTGATTTTGACTCTCTGAAACCCATTTCGACATTCTAAAATTTGTTTTTGATGTTTTAGAATGTGTTTTGGCAGTTTTAAACATCTTTGTGAACTCTAAAATGATTTTAACATTTTTAATTTGATCGTAACATTCTTACTTTAAAAATGTGTTTTTTGAGAGTTTAAAATGTGATTCTTAATATTATTTTGACATTCTAAAATATGATTTTAGGATTTCTAATGTGATTTTGACATTCTAAAATGTATGTTTTACAAGATAAAATGTTTTTGACATCCCAAACCATGATTTTGTCATTCGAAACTGTCGTTTAAATGTTTACTAACTCGAATGGGTTCAGGTATGGATGTGCGGAGGCCAGCTGGAGATCGCCACGTGCTCGCACGTGGGCCACGTGTTCCGGAAGTCGACGCCGTACTCGTTTCCGGGCGGAACTAGCCGCATCGTGAACCACAATAACCGCCGACTGGCCGAAGTGTGGTTGGATCAGTGGAAAGAGTTTTATTATAACATAAATCCAGGTGTTTTTTTATTCACTAGGTGTTTTGTGCATGTCTGGTTGTGGTACTAACTTTTTTCGTGTTTATTCTGTTTCTGCCTTGTTTTTTTGTTATTATTTTATGATTTATTTATTTGTTGTCTGGCACCACTGTTTTATATTTTCAGTATTTGCAAAGTAGTCGTTTATTAGTCGCACAGGCTGTTTTAAATTATACTCACACAAAAAAACGTGTTTAGGTGCCAGAAACGTGGAGGTGGGAGACGTGAAAGCCAGGAGAGATCTGCGGGAAAAGTTGCAGTGCAAAAATTTCCGATGGTACCTCGAGAACGTCTATCCGGAATCTCAGATGCCTTTGGAGTACTTCTATCTCGGTGACGTAAGTAACCACACAACCTCTCGCTCTTCGCACCTTGACGTTTGTCGTTTTCTCGACTTAGATTCGCAACGTCGCTAGTAGGAACTGCCTGGACACGATGGGCCGCAAATCGGGCGAGAATCTCGGCATGACGTACTGCCACAATTTGGGCGGAAATCAAGTTTTTGCCTACACGAAACGTCAGCAGATCATGTCCGACGACAATTGTCTGGACGCTAGCAACAAACGGGGCCCCGTGAAATTGGTGCGGTGTCACGGAATGGGCGGCAACCAGGCCTGGGTCTACGACGAACAGGTAAGTCTTTAAATAGGTATACGTCATTATGACGTACATCAACAGTTTTACATTTAAACTCTTTCCATTCCATTTTTGACATCCCAAAGCGTTACTATGGCTAAATTTACGTCAATTTGACATTTTAACGTCATTTTGACGTCTGGCATATATTTTTTTGATTTCCAGCGTTTTCTTTCTTTCTTTCTTTTTATTTTACAGTTTTGGCAGTGAAGTTCATATAAATGTCCATTAAACGTCATTATGACGTTTATTAAGGATTCGCCATTAATAACTATTTTTATTCCATTTTTGACATCCTCAAACTTAATTTTGGTAATATTTACGTCAATTTTACATTTTAACGTAATTTTGACGTCCGACAACTATTTTTTCCATCTCCGACGTTTTCTTTATTTATTTATTTTTATGACAGTTTTGGCATTTTAGCTCATATAAATGTCCATTAAACGTCATTATGACGTTAATTGCTAATAATAACATAAATTTGACATTTTTAACGTCATTTTGAACGCCTAGCAACAATTTTTTGATTTCAGCCGTTTTCTTCATTTATTCATTTCAGTTACAGTTTTATGGCATCCTTAATAGTTATTTTGATAATTTTAACGCCTTTTTGACATTTTAACGTCTTTGTGAATATTCTTTATTGCTGTTTGACAATTTTATTTTTTGTCCCGCTATAAAAGTATTAAACGTCACTATGACGTTAAAAATGTCAGTTTGATATTTCCAATATTTTTATTCCATTTTTACATCCTTAAGCGTTATTTTAATAATCTTAATGCCATTTTGACATTTCAAACGTCATTTTGACATTTGCCAACTTTTTTGATTTCGGACGTTTTCTTTATTTATTTATTTTAAATTGACAGTTGTATGGCATTTTGGCGCGTCATAAATATCTCAACGTCAGTATGACGTTTAAATAGTCAGTTTGACATTAAATCTAATTATTCCATTTTGACATCCTCAAGTTATTTTGATAATCTTAACGCCATTTTGACCTATGACGTTTAATATTAATTTGACATTTAGAACCATTTTCATTTTTGACAATTTCTTTATTCAATCTTTTCTGTTTGACAGTTTTATGCCATTTTTGCCTTTTACATTTAACTCTTTAATTCGAATTTGACACCCTTAAGCGTCTTTTGGTAATCTCAACGTCATTTTGACATCTGTTTGACAATGTTATGGTATTTTAGCCTTTATAAATGTATATCAAACGTCATTATGACGTTTAATATGGTGGTTTGACATTTACCATTAATAATTTGACATTCAAAATTCTTATCATTCCATTTTTAACATCCATAAATCTCATTTTAAAAATCTTTACGCCAGTTTGACATTTTTAACGTCACTTTGACCTCTGTCAACTATTTTTACAACTTCTGACATTTATTTATTTCTGTTTGACTGTTTTATTCCCTTTTTTGTTTTTATAAATGTATATTATGACGTTTAATATGATATGGTATTATTAATTTGACATTAAGAATTCCTTTTATTTTATTTTTGACATACGAAAACGTTTTTGGAAATATTTATGCCAGTTTGACTATTTTTACAATTTCTGACATTTTCTTTATTTATTTACTTCTGTTTGACAGTTTCATGCTATTTATAACTTTATAAATGTCTAATAAACGTCATTATTGGCAATTTGACATTTAAAACTCTTTTTAGTCGATTGTTAACATCCTTAAACGTCATCTTGTGACCAGTTTGATAATTTGTCGTCTCGACTATTTTTTCGATTTTCGACGTTCTTTTTTTTAGGACAAAACGATAAAACACGTGAACACGGGCAGTTGCCTGCAAAAACCCGACCCGCACGATGTGAATTTGCCCTTATTAAGGCCCTGCAACTTCGACGAGTCGCAGCAATGGATAATGGACAGCGATTTCAAGTGGCAGGCGCGAAACAAGAACACCATAGAGGACCCGGAGGACAGATAGTCGGCGATCGGGTTGCCTACCCAACATTTCCTGTAAATACTGTGAAAAAAGAGTGAGGCGCAAGATTATTTTTTTTCGATTTACTAGTCAATTTGACGCGTTTTATGAATTCGAAATTATGCCGCGCACTTTTAATTTGATTAAATTTAATTTACGAAAACTAAAGTTTTCGTATGTGCGATGATTTTAACATGTTTATATTTATTTTTTTATCGTTTTTTATTATGGTGCCCAACTATATAGTTAAATCATTCCATTTTTACGAAATCCCAAATTCAGCAGCTTTATTATCGATTTTAACCGGAGCATTCCTTTTTAATTACTGTATATGTACAATACAGGGTGATTTTATTAATTTTGCTCAAATTTTGCGTATAAAATGGTTGACAATCCCGTTTTTAGGACTCTTGGGTTGTTTTTAACGATGTATTTCAACTGACATGTACATATTTTCTATAGATTGACCAAACAGTACGAAATACACTAAATTAATCAACTTAGATAGGTTTACGTGATTTTTTAACATATCCGAGCTTTTTTGTATTTTTTTTAATACAGCATATCACCCATTTAGTAGCTTTGAAGACTGAAAAACGACTTTTTAGCCTTCCAGTTTTTTTCAAACAGAATCTTCCGCAAAATGTTTACGAGCTTCCACATTTTTAACCAAGAGTCAAATTTTTGCTCATATGTTGTATAAAGTTATTTTTTATATTAGTTGCCTCGATATAACATATCATATTATGATTAAATTGTTTTATGATTTTTAATATATCAGAAATATTTATAGAATTTTTTGTAAATGATGAAAATGTTATAGGCTAGGTGGTGGTGCAATAGCTTATTCTAAATTAAATTAATTATATAAATTATAATATTAAAGTTATTTAATACAAAAAACTGTTTTTATTTTACCCTAACAAAATTTTTTAACTCATTGTGCGAATTTTTCATTTTTAATTTCTCCTTTCTCCTGTGCCCCTTTAATAAATAAATCTTATTCTTAAGCGTTATTTTTATTAACTTTTTATTCGATTTCTAACGTTTTCTTAATATAAGAATTCTCTTAAATAACTTTTAAACGTCATAATGACGTTTAAAATGTTAGTTTGACATTATACCCTTTTTTTCGGAAAATCTTGAAAACTTCACTTTGTCAAATTGTTAAACTCACATTTAAAGGCTAAAATGCCATAAAGCTTTGACATGTTTTACGTCATTTTGTCAACTATTTTTTCGATTGATGACGAGTGTCAAATTGTTAAACTGACATTTTAAACGTCAAAATGACGTTTAATAGACATCTAGGCTAAAATGTCATAAAGCCGGCAAACAAATAAATAAATGAGGATATTTACGTCATTTTGATTAAATTTAACTATTTTTTCATTTCAGACTTTTTCTTAATTTACTTATTTCAGTTTTATGGCATTTTAGCGCTATAAATATCTCTTGAACGTCATTATTACGTTTAAATTGTCGGTCTGACATTTTATTCCATTTTCTTAAGTTATTTTCATAATCCCAACGTCATTTTGACATCTGTCAACTATTCTTTCGATTTCTGACGTTTCTGTTTGACAGTTTTGGCATTTTAGCCCTCTATAAGTCTATGAAAGGTCATTATGACGTTTAAAATAATAAAAATATAAACAATTTGACATTTACAAGTTTTATTTTATTTTTGACATTATTTTAATAATAATTCAATACATGTTAATTAAACGTCACCATGACGTTTAAAATGTCAATTTGACATTGAAAATAAACAATTTCACATTCAAAACCGTTTTAATAACATCCGTAAGCGTTATTTTAATAATCTTAACGCCAGTTTGACATTTTAAACGTCATTTTGACATATGTCAATGGTTTTTGATTTCGGACGTTTTCTTCATTTATTTTTTTCAGTTTGAGAGTTTTATGGCATTTTAGCGCTTCATGAATATCTTTTGAACGTCATTATGACGTTCAATTTGTCAGTTTGACATTCACAACTCGTTTTATTCCATTTTGACATCCCAAAGTTATTTGGATAATCTTAACGTCATTTTGACATCTTTCAACTATTCTTTCGATTTTTGTTTGACAGTTTTGGCATTTTAGCCATCTTTAAAAATATACGAATCGTCACTATGACGTTTAAAATTAATAAAATACAAACAATTTGACTTTTAAACTCTTATTTCATTTTGAAAATTGTTATTTCAATAAAAAATTATTAAAGGTTAATTACACGTCGATATGACGTTTAAAATGTCAGTTTGACATTGATTAACAATTTCACATTTAAAACCCTTTTAATTACATTTTTGACATCCGTTGTTTTAATAATATAAACGCCAGTTTGACGTTTTAAACGTCATTTTGACATCTGGCAATAGTTTTTGATTTCAGACGTTTTCTTCATTTCTGTTTGACAGTTTTATGTAAGCCCTCTATAAAAGTCACTATGGCAGTTTGACATTTAATATTAACGCCATTTTGACGTTTGTCACTTTTCTTTATTTCTGTCGTTATCTTTATTTTTGTTTTACAGTGGGATAAATTGGGGGAAAATGGGAAAAAATACAACACAATTTTTTCAAACTAGTTTATTACAACTAAAAATCTGTATTTTACAGCTGCAAATAAGAACAAGTGTTGAGTATACATTTTCCTCGGTAAATAATATTCATTTATTTATTTATATGTATATGGAGCAAAACTAAAAAAAATAAATCCTGCCTAAATATTAGACAGAAAAATATTTGGTCAAAAATCACTATTTTTTATTATGAAAAAGACGTATATGGACAGCACAAGACAAATTTTAGAAGATTTTCCCGAATTAATATAAAAAAAAATGCAAGGTCGACAGCAGGTGATTCACGGGGTGTTCAGTTTATTCTGAGACACCCTGTATAACCTGTTTGCGCACCTTGGCCCGAAACCGGTGAAAAATTAAATATCACAACAAAAAATTAAAACTACGAAGTTTCAGTCCAATTGACGCGGTTTCATCGTAAATTTGTATTATCATTGAAAATAGTCTTCGAGTATGGCACAAAAACTATTTTTTAGGTTAGAAAACCCCATCTGTGTGTGAAGAACACTTCAGGTACTAAAAGTACCGAGTATGTTCTACTCGGTACTTTGATTTTTTTCATTCAATTAATTGAATAAACGTGGAAAAATACAGCAAAAAATATCAAGCACCTATTTCATTTTGATGTATTTTTCAGTGAATTTAAAACGTCCATTTTTGCAGAATTGATGTACCTGCTAAAAAAACTCTGTAAAAAAATGGACTTAGGGTGTATATGAAAAATGAGCCTTAAAACAAAATACGAACGTGCATAAATAATACAAAATGATGATAGCGATGCAATGACATCAAAATTACATACAAACTAAATGACGGACTGAAAAGTCACAATTTATTTATCGACTACCTACAAAACTAAGGCCTTTTTCATATTGCCACCGTGGCTAGAAGCACGGTTATATCGTCAGGTTTGCCACCTGAAAAAAAAAACGTTCCATGGAGAACAAGTTGTGTTTTTTTTATTTTTACTCACCAATGGTGTTAATACCGTTAGCAAATGCACTTTCGGCAAAAGGCGAAATAAAAGTTTCGTCGAAGGACAAACTTCTAGCCATCCAGGCTATTGAGTTTGCCACCATTTGCAGTCTGGATGCGCTTCTCTCCCCTTGAACCTAGACGAAAAAAAAAATTGTACCGAAAATAAGCCTAAACATTATAATTATCATAAAGGCAAAGCAAAACAAATTTAAGAGTGTAATTGACATTTTACAATGTAAAATCATATCAAAGAATGTCAAAAACAAATTTTAGTACATTAAAAACACCATTAAGAATGTTAAACCATTTTTAAGAATGTTTAAAGCGTATTTAAATATGTCTTAATTTTTGTAGAACGCCCAGAGCAAATTCTAGATTGTCAAAAACATTTAAGATTGTTAAAAGCAAATTTAAAATTATAAAATGTAAAATCATATCAAAGAATGTCAAGAATATAATTTAGAATGTCTGAAACATTTTAGAATGTTAAGATCACATCAAAGTGAAGAAAAAATTTAAGAAGGAAATTAAAAACACCATTTAGAATGACAAAACGCAATTTGCCATGTCAAAAGCACATTTAAGAATGTCAAACCATTTTTAAGAATGTCAAACCATTTTTAAGAATGTTTAAAGCGTATTTAACAATGTCTTATTTTTCTATAATGCCTAAAGTAAATTTTAGATTGTCAAAGATATCCAAGATTGTTAAAAGCAAATTTAAGAATATAAAATACTTTTAAGAATGTCGAAATCATATTTAAGAATGTCAAAAATACAAAACGCAATTTGCCATGTCACAGCACATTTAAGAATGTCAAACCATTTTTAAGAATGTTTAAAGCGTATTTAACAATGTCTTATTTTTTTAGAATGCCTAAAGCAAATTTTAGATTGTTAAAGATATTCAAGATTGTTGTTAAAGCAAATTTAAGAATATAAAATACTTTTAAGAATGTCAAAACCATATTTTAGGATGTCAAGAATACATTTTAGAACGTCAAAAACACATTTTAAAATGTAATTGAATGTCAGAAACATTTTAGAATGTTAAAATGCCAAAAACAAAATTTAGATTGCCACACCATTTTAAAAAATATAAAATACTTTTAAGAATGTCAAACCATATTTAAAAATGTCAAGAATACATTTTAGAATGTCAAAAACTCTTTTTAGAATGTAATTGAATGTCAGAAACATTTTAGAATGTTAAAATCACATCAAAAAGTAAAAAAAAATTAAAAACACCATTTAGAATGACAAAACGCAATTTGAAATGTCAAAAGCACATTTTAGAATGCCAAAACAATTGAAGAATGTCAAAAACAAAATGTAAGGTGTCAAACCATTTTTAAGAATGTTTAAAGCGTATTAACAATGACTAAATTGTTTTATAATGCCCAGAGCAAATTTTAGATTGTCAAAGGCATTTAAGATAGTTAAAAGCAAATTTATGAATATAAAATACTTCTGAATGTCGAAACCATATTTGGGAATGTCAAGAATTAATTTTAGAACGAAAAAAACACATTTTAAAATGTAATTGAATGTCAGAAACATTTTAAGATGTTAAAATCACATCAAAGAGTAAAAAAGCACCATTTAGAGTGATAAAACGCAATTTGGAATGTCAAAAGCACATTTAAGAATGTCAAACCAATTAAAGTATGTCAAAAACAAAATGAAGGTTGTCAAACCAATATTTAGAAGGTTTAAAACGTAATTAATGTCAAAATTAAGAATGTCCAAAGCAAATCTTAGATTGTCAAAGCCATTTTAGAATGTCAAAAACACATTTCTCAAAAAATGGTGGTTAAAACATGAAAAGTTTAAATACTGACCTTGACTAATTCGTTGACTATGATGCTCTGCGGTAAATTGTCGAAAACGCCATCTGTGGCGACCAAAATAACGTCGCCATCTTCGACGGGAAAATTGTCGGTAATGGCGGTATCTGGAGTGTCGCTTAGCACGCCCTCTTGGTAACCCGGAGGCGGCAGCGAAAGCTGAAACGGCGTGTTGAAGTAATGCTGCTGCTCTTCGGAACGATGGATGACCTTGCCACGTCTGACAACCATGTAACCGCTGTCGCCGATGTTGGCCGTATAGAGGGTGCTGTTCTCCTTATTTAGCACCACCACGCAGGCGGTACTGGAACCTACGTAAGGTTCAAATTTGGTGAACATTCTTAATAAGACGTCATTTTGTCGATGAATTTCAATCGCAAATAACTTTTTTATTTGATGTCGGATTTAAACGAATATTAAAGAATATTGTAGATAAATTAATGGACAATCGCTCACATTTTAAAAAATTACTAAAAAATAGACGTACGTTTATAATATACAGGTTTAAACAAAAAGATGTTTTTTACCATAAGTTTAAGACACTCTGTAGAGTGGCAAAACCGTATATTGCTCTAAATTAAGTTTTATTTATCAAGTCACATCTATTCTTAACAGTTTTGTTTTTGGTTCACCTCAATATATTTATTTTTGTGGAAAATATGGAATTTTTAAAAAACATTGCAATTTCCAATATTTTTTTGTATGAAGAACTAAGGTTGCTATGGTCAATCCATAGGCTATGGAGAATGACAGTGACAGTTTTGTTGAATCATCCCATACTTGGACATGTCATACACGGCTTTCAAAAGCTATCAAATTGTTTTTTGCAAATTTATGTTTAAATTTTGAGGTGTCTTCTTACTTTATAAAATGGATATGTCTCCGACTGATGTTGCCAGAGCCATTAATTTAATCCAGGATGGACGGTCACAGTATTACGTGGCAAGTGTTTTAAACGTCACAAGAAGTAAAGTACAAAGGGCAACATCAGTCGGAGACATTTTTAAAAGTAAGAAGACACCTCAAAATTAACACATTAATTTACACAAAACAATTTGATAGCTTTTGAAAGCTGTATATGACATGTCCAAGTATGGGATGATTTAACAAAACTGTCACTGTCATCCTCCATAGGCTATGGATGGACCATAGATTAATAACCTTTGGGATGGACCATAGCAACCTTAGTTCTTTATACAGGAAAAATATTGGAAATTGCAATGTTTTTTAAAAAATCCATATTTTCCACAAAAATAAATATATCGAGGTGAACCAAAAACAAAACTGTTAAGAATAGATGTGACTTGATAAATAAAACTTAATTTAGAACAATATACGGTTTTGCCACTCTACAGAGTGTCTTAAACTTATGGTAAAAAACATATTTTTGTTTAAACCTGTATATTATAAACGTACGTCTATTTTTTAGTATTTTTTTTTAAATGCGAGCGATTGTCCATTAATTTATCTACAATATTCTTTAATATTCGTTTAAATCCGACATCAAATAAAAAAGTTATTTGCGATTGAAATTCATCGAAAATTTGTGTGGATCGATTATTTTGCACGCGTGAGTGTAGATAATAGTATAATAAAGAACTAATGCCATAAGACGTAATTTTGTCGCCCGTTATTAGGTTTAGAATTAAAAAAAAATTTCAGGTGCTTCTTTATGGACCCTAAGGAAATACCCATTTTAATATATTACATTAATTACATAACACCCTGTAGTAAACGTAAAGTAAAACAATTTAAAGAACGGTTATTATTTAACGGTTGGCTCGTTTCGTTTTCTATTTTCGTTGGATTTTGACGAGCAAGTGAAACTCACGAGACAAATCATATGATTGCACTTAATGACGACATAATCACAAGTTTGTTTCCAAAAACTATTAATAGATTTATAAACGTGGAACGAATCGAAAAAATGGTATTTTGGGATTAATTTTGGCACGCAAACAACATATGGTCGACACATTTTTACAAAACAATAATAATGCACTATTCAAATCGAAATCATCGTAATTTTTATAAAAATGTCAAATTTTTGAGCGATTTTGATTTTGATCTTTAAAGTACAAAAAAACAAAAATTTTCCTGAAAAAAAAATTATTATTATTATTTTAATCACTGACGTAAGCCGCGTTATCTAAACCTTAGTTCATTGAAATCGCATATCTCGATATTATGCAAGTCCAAACAATTAACTGCGTTTTTTTAAATAATCAACATACTATCAACTCACCTAAAATTGACTTTTTGTGGTGCAAAAGTTCGTAGTAACTTTTGGCCAGCAATTCAGACGGATTTGTGGGTTGAAATCTGCCCAGATTCACTAGTCGTTCGCAATTTTTCATTAGGTGCAGCGAAAATTCACCCGGGTCTATGCCGTAAGCCCTCCATCCCCCGACCCCATCGGCTACGCCTGAAATTACATTTTAGAATGTCAAAAATAAATTTAAGATTACCACAAACATACATATACATATAAGAATTTCAAACATATTTAATTTCAGAAAAATATTTCAGAATTTTATAAATACTTTTGAAAATCTTATAAAAACATTTTGGAATGTCCAAATGACATTTAAAAATGTCAAAAATAAATTTAAGATTACCACAAACATACACTCACAGGCAAAATAATCGATCCACACAAATTTTCGATGAATTTCAATCGCAAATAACTTATTTATTTGTTTTCGGATTTAAACAAATATTAAAGAATATTGTAGATACATTAATGGAGAATCGCTCACATTTTAAAAATTACTAAAAAATACACGTACGATTATATTATACAGGTTTTAACAAAAAGATGTTTTTTACCATAAGTTTAAGACACTCTGTAGAGTGGCAAAACCGTATATTGTTCTAAATTGTGTTTTAATTATCAAGTCACATCTATTTTTAACAGTTTTGTTTTTGGTTCACCTCGATATATTTATTTTTGTGGAAAATACGGATTTTTTTTTTTTAAATTGCAATTTCCAATATTTTTCCTGTATGAAGAACTAAGGTTGCTATGGTCCATCCATAGCCTACGGAGGATGACAGTGACAGTTTTGTTGAATCATCCCATACTTGGACATGTCATATACAGCTTTCAAAAGCTATTAAATTGTTTTTTGTAAATTAATGTGTTAATTTTGAGGTGTCTTCTCACTTTTAAAAATGTCTCCGACTGATGTTGCCCTTAGTACTTTACTTCTTGTGACGTTTAAAACACTTGCCACGTAATACTGTTACCGTCCATCCTGGATTAAATTAATGGTTCTGGCAACATCAGTCGGAGACATATCCATTTTTTAAAGTAAGAAGACACCCCAAATTTAAACATTAATTTGCAAAAAACAATTTGATAGCCTTTGAAAGCTGTATATGACATGTCCAAGTATGGGATAATTCAACAAAACTGTCACTGTCATCCTCCATAGGCTATGGATGGACCATAGCAAACTTAGTTCTTCATACAGGAAAAATATTTTTTTTTTTAAATCCATATTTTCCACAAAAATAAATATATCGAGGTGAACCAAAAACAAAACTGTTAAGAATACATGTGACTTGATAAATAAAACTTAATTTAGAACAATATACGGTTTTGCCACTCTACAGAGTGTCTTAAACCTATGGTAAAAAACATCTTTTTGTTTAAACCTGTATATTATAAACGTACGTGTATTTTTTAGTAATTTTTAAAATGTGAGCGATTCTCCATTAATGTATCTACAATATTCTTTAATATTTGTTTAAATCCGAAATCAAATAAAAAAGTTATTTGCGATTGAAATTCATCGAAAATTTGTGTGGATCGATTGTTTTGCCTGTGAGTGTACATTTTAGAATGTCAAAAATAAACTTAAGATTACCACAAACATATAAAAATATTTAAGAATTTTGAATGTCCAAATGACATTTAAAAATGTCAAAAACAAAATTAAGATTATCCAGACAATGTTAAAACCATATTTAAGGCCATCCTAATTACATTTTAGAAAGTCAAAAATAAATTTAAGATTACCACAAACATATATTTACATATAAGAATGTTAAACATATTTAATTTTAGAAAAATATTTCAGAATTTCATAAATACTTTTGAAAATCCTATATAAACATTTTGGAATGTCCAAATGACATTTAAAAATGTCAAAAACAAAATTAATATTATCCAGACAATGTTAAAACCATATTTAAGGCCATCCTAATTACATTTTAGAATGTCAAAAATAAATTTAAGATTACCACAAACATATATTTACCTCGATATTTACATATAAGAATGTCAAACCTATTTAATTTCAAAAAAATATTTAAGAAATTCATAAATACTTTTGAGAATCTTATAAACACATTTTGGAATGTCCAAATGACATTTAAAAATGTCAAAAACAAAATTAAGATTATCCAGACAATGTTAAAACCATATTAAGGCCATCCTAATTACATTTTAGAAAGTCAAAAATAAATTTAAGATTACCACAAACATACATATAAGAATGTCAAACATTTAATTTTAGAAAAATATTTAAGAATTTCATAAATACTTTTGAGAATCCTATAAAAACATTTTGGAATGTCCAAATCACATTTAAAAGTTTAAAACCAAACTTAAGAATATCCAGACCATATTAAAAAAAATGCATTTTCTACTGTAAAATGGTTTAATACCCACTAAAAATAAAAATATAATAAAATAATAATAAAAAGTGAAAATTTTTAGAAAGTTGTTAAATTTTTACAATAGAAACATAATATTAAACGCATTAGAACTTTCCTTAATAACTTCTGGCCTGGACCAGTTTTAATTTAGTTATTTTATGGCGTCAGTCAAATACCATTTTTCAATTAGTAAAGGCCAAACCGGTTTAATTTTTACCTACTAGCTATGCTTTATTGCTTTAATAGATATACATGAATAAATCCTTTAATTATATTTGGATTATACCTGATATATTTTCAATTCAACAATGTTATTGACTAAAAATTGTAATACAATATTAAATTGACGAACCTTAACTGCTGTAATTTTATAATAATGAGAAAAGTACATAATATTATGAGAATTGTTTGACCTCAGTTTGTCATTATATTCTCGACAATTAAGCTAATAAGGCTAGACAAATTAATCAGTTTTTATTTAACAAAGAATAAAACGAATGTTTTGTATTTTTTGGCATAAACACTTGTTCTATTAATACAAATCCTTATTCGCGAAAATAGCAAAATTCATTTTGTAATCTTTATAATCTGTTTTTATTTGAAAACTGTCAAATAAAACTTATGTAAAAATGTTTTTGACATTCATAAACATTTGACACTCTAAAATGTGTTTTTGACATTCTAAATTATGTTTTTAGATGTGTTTTGCGTTTCTGCGTTTTAAAATAAAATGTTTGTTTTGAAAGATATCAATCTAAAAGCTTTTATTATTAAAATAAACACGGTTTATTATTGTCAATATTCAACAGTTCAAACCCGAAAATTATGCAATTATTGGGACGAAAAACAAACAACACTAACGTCACGAATACAAAGGTTGGAACCTTATGCTAAAAGTGAGGTTATGATTGTGGAACATACCCAAAACATCTGCGTTTTTTTGTTTGGCCGTGAACCAGGCGTCGTCCCCGAACGTCCCTTTCAAAAGCCTCTGGATTTTCTTGTCTTTGCTGAAGCCGCAGACGGCCGAGACCAGGCAAGGTTCGCTTTTCTGCTTCAAAGCTGGATCGGCCGAGCTGGTCGAATAGTTGGATAATCCATTCCAGATTGCTCGCGATAAAAGTCTTCCCGTCACCCAGATCGAGTGCATATCGAAACGCGGCACTAAAATCCAAACGAAATCAACCTGTACTCCACATTTTTGCCCCCAACACTGCACGAGATCTGTCAACTGCAAACAATTTGACGTTTGACTAATTGCGCCGAGCGCGGCGCCATCTCACCGCGACTCGTCCAAGCCTGTGTTGTTCTAATTTATGCAACCCAGTTTGCACAACAACCTATAAAATCGATATGTTGCTCATTAAAACTAATTAATTTTGAACCCTTGAAAACAATTTAGTTTTATTAGTTTTTGACACGCACAAATTAATTTACACACGCCAACTGAATTGAAATCGACAACCACAGATTATTTATATGTACATAATTTCGATAATTTAGGATTTTATTAATTTTTCCAAAGATAATGAACAAAAAGAAGCACACGAGTTTGGAAGTTATTATTAAACTATGAAAATAACAAACATGATAAGCCAATGCGCTTTATTTATGAAAATAATTTTCATTGAAAATGTTTAAAGTAAACTTTTGTGTTATAATTTTTTAGCAACTTTGATCAATTTTTTGTCGAATTAATAAAATCTAAAACTAGGTGAAATTATCGACTGCAGAATTTACCAATCTAGGTAAATCAAAATCATTTTCTGGTGATTCACAAAATTCAATGGAATTTATAAAAACTAGACGTTTATCAGTTAATTTCGGTATATAAATCATTCGTCGGCAATTTTTACTAAAAATATAAGATTATTTACTTCGTCTAACCCAAATATTATAACTTTTATTTTAAATACGGACTTTGAAAGTAAAAATATTGAAAACTCATGTATTTTTGAATAGATAAGTATATGTTTGTTCAAACTTATTTGTACACAAAACATATCCGGTGTATAGAAAATGAGAAACAAAAGAATTAGGTTTATATAAATTCCATTCAAGTTGAGTGTCTAAATAAATAATTTAAAAATCATTACCAAATATGTAAACAAGTTTATTAAAAAGTCTATTAACTAATTAATACATAATGAAATAAGCGTAGGTGTAAAGTACACCATTTACATACATGCAGGGTGCCCTGAAAGAGTTTTTTTTTTATCAAAAAATAACTTTTTTTTTAATTGCAATATCTTTCACATTTTTAATTAAATTTTTATCTCAAAAAACATGTTTATATTCTCTAATAATAGAATAGAATAGGCTCTAAATCTTTACAAAAATTTCAGGGCGTACTAAACAAAACACAATTTTTTCTATGAGTGATATCAGTTTTTACAAAATATATCTTAAACACTCTGTATCTCAAAAAACATGTTAACCCTGATAGCAAAATTTGATTCTAAGAATCTTCTAAGAAGATATGACCCGGAATAATGTAATATTCTTAGAACCTTCCCTTATTGCTAAGAATGTTCTTAGGGACTTTTAAAACATTCAATAGATACCATTTTAATGATGGAATTAGATTCTTAGAAGCTTCTTAAAACCTTCCTAAAAAGCATTCTAAGAACATTTTAAGAATACGTTTTTGGAATGTTCTTAGAAGGTTTCTTATGGAGCTTCTAGGAAGCTTTTGAGAATATTTCCAAATATGTCAGATAGGTACCCACGTTCTAATATGTTGGATTCTACATTCGTAAAATTCTTTAGGAGGCGACAAATACGCCTCACTGTCATAATATGACAGTGAAATGTATTTGTCGTCCCCTTAAAAAAATTGTTTTATTAATATATATTTATTTAAAAATATTAAATAAACAATTTGACCTCTAAACCATAAGTTGTATGACATTATTTCATAAAAAGTAAAATTGGAAAATTTTGTGGGATAAGTCAGATTAGATTGAAGTTGAAGATAGTTAGGATTATTATACTTACATAAAAATGTTAATTCAGAAATAAAAAATCGGTATACAAATTAATAAATATTTATTTTTAACATAAAATAAAATATAAAAAAACAAAATATTTCCTTATAAAATAATTCTTCATAAAAGAAAAAACCAAATAATTCTTCATAAAAAAAAACATTTTTCATTGTATTTAAGTTGGATAGAAGATTTTATGTAAAAACCGGATAATTTAGATACCTATAGTAAAAGTATTTTTTTTATCAAATATTGTTTTAATTTGACAAATAACTATAATAACTATATGGGATGGGTTTTTTACTTAGTATTTAATACTAAGTATAGGTACCTTTATACGTAGATTATGGTATATTTTACTATTATATAGGTACCTAACTGAACAGAATGTTCCAGGAATATTCCTTAATAAACTTTCTATAGCAATTACTTTCTCAACATTCTAAGCATATGTTTAGAGTGGATTAATTTTTACCACTAAACTTTGCACCTTCTAAGAACCTGCATATAGGCCAGTGAGAATATTCTTAGGATTATGCTATATTTCTTTTAAGCATGTTCTTTAAAAGAAATATAGCATGATCCTAAGAATATTCTCACTGGAAGGTTTAAAAAACATTCTTAGAACATGACTAGAATAAATATAGCATGATCCTAAGAATATTTCCACTGGAAGGTTTAAAAAACATTCTTAGAATAAACTGTGCTATCATGTAGGTACTTATTATTATAAAAAGAATTGCGTGACTTTTGGAACACCTTGTATACAGGTAAAATCAAACATCAGTGGAAGAAACTTCCGCCAATAGAACAGCACGGACCGGAAATCATTCACCGACACGTGAATTCATCATTCGTGTATTTTTAATCGAATGTTTTTGTAGTGTTCGAGGCGCTTAATATTTGTTGTCATTGAAACAATATAACATCATTAAACTATCGACGGAGCACGCAACGCATTCTGGTTAGTGCGAAAAAATGTTCAGAAAGCGAAGTAGGGCGGAAAGTTTCAACAAAAGTGCCAAATTGAGGAAGCTGGAGGAGTTGGGTCTTCCCAACGCAAAATTAAAGTTTTGCCCTGAACAACTGTTGAATATTAATTACATTTTTAATGAGAGATTAGAGGAAAATGCCGCTCATTCAACAGGTATGATTTTTTGTCAGTTAATATTTGCAAATATCTCGATAAAACTAGAACAATTAAACGTTAGTACAGTCATTGTCCTTACTATAAAAATAGATCTAATGTGACGTACAATTTTTATTAATTGCTTCAATAATTCGTATAGCAGATGTTATTTAATTAGGCGACATTTTTATTGCAGATAAATCCATTTTACTGGCTAAATCAGTTTCGGAAAGATTGGTGCAAAGACTTTTGTGTGGAGTGGGCCAGCTGGACCAGAGATTTTCGTCGAAATTCTTGATATGCAATCATCAACACAGAAATGTAAAGACCAAAGACCAAGACTAAGACCAAAGACTAAGACCAAGACTAAGACCAAGACCAAGACTCTTAGTCTTGGTCTTTGGTCCAGTGTTACCGTTGAGTCATTTTTTTTTTCAGAAATCCCTCCCTCTAAACCTCAAATATTTGGTACGTCTGGACTCTCTATCAACCCCAGTAATCTATGAGAACGACCAAACTTTAAAGTACTCAGTCATAGAGACGGATTCTGATTACCCAGCTGGTTATGCCAGAATAAGACTACACACTTCCTCATTTCAAACGTGGGGGGACTACACAAGCTCCAACGGATACTTGAGAAGGTACTAAAATACATTTTTTTTGCAATTATACAAAAATATTTTGTAGGGACAAAGTGCAAGCGAAATTCGTTGAGCTCTTGGCCCAATCGGCTGCCAGAGATCTACCAAATTCGCCTTTACAAGTTGATGAGTCCACATCTTGCGGAATACCAGGGAAAATTCTTGACCCGGCTACTCTACATTTCATACTGAACTTGGACTCGAAATATCAAGTCTACTATGGACCAGGTAAGTCAAGAACATTTAATGGGGTATTTTACAACATTTTTAATTTAAAGGAGGTAACGTACCCAGATTTCCGGACCCAAGAGACATCAGACTGGCAATTATCGACGAACCCAACGGTGTCAAACTCAAAATCGAGTTTCTATCACCAGCCTTGTCGAACATTTCGATAAACGTTCGCCTATTGGTGGCCATAGGCATAGACGCCTGGCCCAGCACTACCAACTTTCCATCCAGAGTGTCCCTAGGCCACTGCGACTGTTTGTTGTACCATAGAGCGTCCCAGACGGGGATGTACTTGGTGGGTTATGGGGTTCAGTCATCGGCATGGCAAATTAGAACCCCTGCTGCCGAGTTCATCATGTTGAACCATTATGGGGTCAATAGTACCGTCCGGACGGTTCTGGATGTGCTGTATTACATCATGGATGAGATTGATACATCCAGGAAGTTTAAAAAACAAGTAAACATGATGTACTCATAAATTATATTTAATATCAATTTTCCTAGGTTTGCTACAAGATTTTGAACAGATACATCCTCCTAACTCTTTTGCTGGAAGAACTGGAAGAAAACAGCGTCAACCATGGCAGTGACGTCATTTATTGGTCGCCACTATATTTATCAACCATAGTGTTACAATTAATGGACAGAATAATTCGTCGATTGTACACCGAACAGCAACCAAATTACTTCTTCAAAAAGTCCAACCTATTCATCAACCCTGGACATTTATCCGACGAGGACTTCATCATCGAAGCTAACAACGTCAAAAATTATCTGGGGAGGCTGTTCGATAAATCCCTGATGTCCACTAAGGGTACCACAACACAAATTTATATACACTCCGTACTTAATTAATAAATTTTAGATAATGAAGCCTTTCAGAGGATGTCGCTGTCTCAGCAGAGCGAGGCTATGCTTTTGACGAGATGGAGGGATATTGTACAGGGGTTGTTGCCACCTTCCGGCACCAGGGGGCGCAGGTTTTGCTTTGCGGGGTCGAAAAATCGACAGGACGTCGTGCACACTCAATACACCAACAGGCAGCTGGAGTACATAGGTTTGCTCCTCAAGAATATGCTGTTGGTGCATCAAAAGTTATTACAGGCTGACCATACTGCAGTTGACAGTACCATAAACCACATGGATTTTGATAAGGGCGACCACATGGAGGACGTCATATTCATTTTGGTGACCATTATGGAGCAAGCTAGAGACCAGTACTTAGCCAATGCAACCAATCCAAACATAGTGAAGAATAAGAGCAAAATCCGAAGCCACTACAACACGTACACCTCAAAATTGGTGGATATCATACGTAAGGATAAAGAGATCAAACATCAAGATTACTCGGACGATACAGTCTTAGTGAAAATCATACTCAAGTGGCTTTATAAAGCGATGGACCAAAACAAAAGGCATTTGGGACCGATCTTACGTCCGTATTTAAACATTTTGTTCACCACCTCGCACGCTGTATCGTGGCATCTAGAGTCCATAAAGCAAAGGCAATGCGATGCGGAAATATCGTCCCTGAACAAGTTCTGCGAGCTGGTCTACAACGGCAAAATCACCCCAGCCGAGGGTCTAATCGATGCAGTGAACAAGAACTGGGATTGGGCCAAGAACATGCTGAAAATGGTCGAAAAGAGCACCTTAAGGATTGTTTTTATTTGCGACAGGGGTAAGGTGTATCGCCACATCCTATCCCTACCCTCCTACGACAGAAAAAAGGAGAATGATGGAGGATCGAGGACTCTGGAGAGCGAGAGAAAGCGCAGGGACATCAGACGACAGAAAACTTTGCCCAATAGAAGTTATTTCGCTTCTATAATGAAAGATAGTAAGTTTCCTCTTTGGGAAAAACATTTTTTTAATGTATAATGTATTTTTTAGAAGAGATCTTCAACAATGAAGACCTAACTCCTCAGCATGACTTGCTAAAATTATCAAGCCCTTTGACATACGTTTTAACCAGCAAGCATAGAAAAGGCGAACATAGGGGTTGTGGAGACGTCTTAAAAACCCTAATATCAATGCAAAAACTGAACGTAAGTTTGTGGAAAAAAAATTGCAACAAAAATTGAAACTTTTTTCTCAAGGTTTTTCAGGAAGTTACCAGCTGCCTCCCGCAGGAGGACCGTGTGGAACTCCTGGAAATAATACACGAGCTGCAGATTCTGAAGTCCAAACAGAGCGGCAAGAAGTGGTCGAATACGTTACCGCATTCGAGCAGTAAGGCAAATGTTGAGTTTTTTTCGAAGTACACGCCGAAAGAGGAGAGCGCAGGCGTGAAAATCGTTGCGGATGGCGTGGCAGATGAGAAAAGAGAGGAGTTGAAGCTGAAAAATGTTAATTTGAATAGCTTGATAGGGACTTGTAGAGCATCTAGGATCAGAGAGGACAGCAACATTTTTCTACTGAATGACAACTTCAAGATAAAATCTTTGCTGAACTCAAGTGATAGCTTTAGATTTTAGATTTTTTTTAGATAATTAAATAGAGATTTGAACGTGTTTTTGTCGTTTTACAATAAATATTATATTATACACTTTTTCACCATCAGTTTTTACTGGTCTACAAAAAATATGGTTAAAATCGATCCATAAATTAGAAAGTTACTAATTTGACATTTTGGCGCCCAACTTTTTTGTTTATTCGCTTTAACATCTACAATTTTTATAAAATTTTCATATCAGTGGTAAAAATTGATAACCGTACAAAAAATGGTGAACTATAAATTAAAAAGTTACTAAATTAACATATTGGCGCCCAACTTTTTTTAGAAATTTCTGTAATTACAATTTTTGTGCGATTTTTATAGTTTTCAGGATATATCAGTATATATACTAACAAAAATACACTGTATCCAAAAGCATTATCAGTTTTTACTGGTCTACAAAAATATGGTTAAAATCGACCAATAAATAAAGAATTAACAAATTTCACTTTTTGTCGCTCACAATAGATGTCAGTGTTAAAAATTAATAGTTTTTCAAAAAAAAGTGGTGAAAAAGGAACTATAAATAAAAAAGTTACTAAATCGCCATTACATCTGCAATTTTTGTGCAATTTTTATAAAAATTGTATCAGTTTTTACTAGTCCACAAAAAATATGGTTAAAATTGACCCTTTAATAAGAAAGTTGTAAATTTTTTTTTAATCGCTGTAAACTATAAAATTTATCATTTATTTCATATAATAAAAATATCATTTTACAAAAAAAGTGGTTAAAATCGACCAATAAATAAAAAAGTTACAAATTCGACCTTTTGGCGCCCAACTTATTTTAAAAATCCTTTTATTAGCTACAATTGTATTAAAATTTTTATATCAGTGGTAAAAATTAATAATAATTATTATACAAAAAGTGTTGAAAATCCAACAATAAATAAAAAAGTTACAAAGTCTTGGCGCCGAACTTTTTAAAGAAATTGCTGAAATATTTATAATTTTTGTGCGATTTCTATAAAATTTTCAGGATATGCTAAAAAAATACAATTTATAGAATAGCATTATCAGTTTTTACTGGTCTCCAAAAAATATGGTTAACTTTTTTATAAATCGCTGTAAAATGTACAATTTTTATATCCATGGTAAAAATTAATAATTTTACAAAAAAAGTGGTAAAAATCGACCAATAAATAAAAAAAGTTACAAAGTTGACATCTTGGCGCCCAACTTTTTATAGAAATTGCTGTAATATTTACAATTTTCGTGCGATTTCTATAAAATTTTCAGGATATACTAAAAAAAATACAATTTATCGAATAGCATTATCAGTTTTACTGGTCTACAAAAAATATGGTTAAAATCGACCTATAAATAAAAAGTTTACAAATTTCACTTTTTGTAGCCGAACTGTTTTTAAAAATCTACAATTTTTATGCGGTTCTTTTAACAATTGTAATAATTTTAACTGGTCTACAAAAAATATGGTTAAAATCGACCCATAAATAAGGAAGTTACAAATTTGACATTTTGGCGCCCAAGTTTTTTTTAAATCGCTGCAAAATGTACAATTTTTATATCCGTGGTAAAAATTAACAATTTTACAAAAAAAGTGGTAAAAATCGACCAATAAATAAAAAAGTTACAAAGTTGACATCTTGGCGCCCAACTTTTTATAGAAATTGCTGTAATATTTACAATTTTCGTGCGATTTCTATAAAATTTTCAGTATATACTAAAAAAAAATACAATTTTTAGAATAGCATTATCAGTTTTTAACGGTCTACAAAAAATATGGTTAAAATCGACCCATAAATAGGAAGTTACAAATTTGACATTTTGGCGCCCAACTTTTTATTAAATCGCTGTAAAATGTACAATTTTTATTTCCGTGGTGAAAATTAATAATTTTACAAAAAAAGTGATAAAAATCGACCAATAAATAAAAAAGTTAAAAAGTTGACATCTTGGCGCCCAACTTTTTTATAGAAATTGCTGTAATACTTCTATAAAATTAACGAATAGCATTATCAGTTTTACTGGTCTACAAAAAATAATAATTTTAAAATAATATCATATTATACACTTTTTCCCTAAAAAATACCCTGTATAACAGAGCTTCATGGGGTAGTTTGCGCTACTGTGCATCCCCTTTACAGTTGAACAGAATCAATCTCGACTCTGCGACGTCGCAGTCGAGATTCTGGACCAACACACAGTGTTTCATCTGAAGGTGTGTCGATTGAAAAACCGCAAGTGTTTCACTGGGGCACAAAATGATCCGAAAAACTTCTCTGGCGGGGTAAAAACTGTAACAGTTCGACACGAGTGAGTTTGACCGTTAAAAATGTGATTTTTGGTCTAAAGTTTTTCGTTCGATGGAGCATGGAGCAGCAACTTCTAAATAAAACAGTAACACAAAATAGTTTTAATTTGCAAAGTTTTAACGCAACTTTAACGAGAAATGGTAATATACCGAGTCTACACATAACACCCTGTATAATACTATCCAATTTCAGAGGTAACCACCATACCGAGTGTTGGCAATGTAACGCAAAAGTCAATTAAAGAGTTAATCTACAATGGGACAGGATTTTTTATTGAGGATGAAGGGGACACCTCTGGAAGCTTAAATGATATACAAACACTTTTTTTGGCATGTTTCGCCACTTTATTACCTTTGGTTTTAATTTTACTCGCCGCTTTTGGTATAAGGTAAAATTACTTTCTTTAAAATGTAAACAATAACAAAGTTTTGACATTTTGGCGCCCACCTTTTAAAATCTCCCTTATTCTTTGGGCGATTTTGACAAAATTTTGAGGGCACACCAAACAAAAAGTCTATTTTTAAATAATAACACATTTTTCTTCCGAAGAATACTGTGGACGAAATATAAGCGACGCAAAGAGAACGCTCAGTATGATGGAATACTTCCAAGGGATCAAACCAGCGATTCGATCAACAGACCTCTGCATTCGCATTTGCTTAACGACAAGGTAAGCTGGGTTGCCTAATAGTGCCAGATTAAATCAAATTGTTTTTTAAAAGCTCTTTAAAAACACATTACTTAAATTATTCTTTTTAAATGAAAATCGCAAAAAAATTACTGCAACTTAAAAATTGTTTTGTTATAATATAAAACTTGAATGGTGACCTCAATTTGGCACATTTTTATAATTGCCAAATTACTTTTTATTATTTGCATCTTTTAAAAAGCCTAACAGCTTGACTGTGTGACCTTGTTTTGCAGTTAATAGTTTTTAAACCGCATTAATATATGCAATTTAACAAATACAAGATTTTGACTGCATAAGTGCAATGCAATTTGTATGCACTTGTAACATGTTTTCTTTGTGGTAATGTATTTAATATTAGTTTAGAGCCTCCTACTACTAAGGGTCAGTTTTTTTTTCGATAAAATTACATTTTTAAAATCGTTGGTAAACATTTATAGTTTACAAAAGAAAAATGGTGAAAATCAACCTATAAATACAAAAGTTAGCATGTCGAAATCTTGGCGCCTAACTTTTTTTTTAAATCGCTGTAAAATATACAATTTTTATATCTGTGATAAAAATTAATAATTTTACAAAAAAGTGGTGAAAATCGACCTACAAATAAAACAGTTACCAAGCTGACATCTTGGCGCCCAACTTTTTTAGAGATTGCTGTAATATTTACAATTTTTGTGCGATTTCTATAAAATTTTCAAGATTTACTGAAAAAAACATGCTTTATCAAATACCTTTATCAATTTTTACTGGTTAACAAAAATATGGTAAAATCGACCCATAAATAAAGAAGCTACAAATTTGACATTTTGGCGCCCAACTTTTTTTTTAAATCGCTGTAAAATATACAATTTTTATATCAGTAATGAAAATTAATAATTTTACAAAAAAAGTGGTGAAAATCGACCTATAAATAAAAAAGTTACCAAGTTGACATCTTGGCCCCCAACTTTTTTTAGAAATTGCTGTAATATTTACAATTTTTGTGCGATTTTGATAAAATTTTCAGGATATACTGAAAAAAATATGCTTTATCGAATACCATTATCAATTTTTGCTGGCCTACAAAAAATATGGTAAAATCGACCCATAAATAAGGAAGTTAAAAATTTGACATTTTGGAGGCCAACTTTTTTTTAAATCGCTGTAAAATATAAAAATTTATATCAGTAATAAAAATTAATAATTTTACAAAAAAGTGGTGAAAATCGACCTATAAATAAAAAAGTTGACATCTTGGCGCCCAACTTTTTTATAAATTGCTGTAATATTTACAATTTTTGTGCGATTTTAATAAAATTTTCAGGATATACTAAAAAAACACGCTTTATCGAATACCATTATCAATTTTTACTGGTCTACAAAAAATATGGTAAAATCGACCCATAAATAAAGAAGTTACAAAGTTGACATATTGGCGCCCAACTTTTTTTTTAAATCGCTGTAAAAGATACAATTTTTATACCAGCAATAAAAATTAAATAATAGTACAAAAAAGTGGTGAAAATCGACCAGTTATTAAAAAAGTTGACATCTTGGCGCCAACTTTTAGGTTTTTTATCAGTTTTAACTGGTCTACAAAAACTTTGGTTAAAATCGACCCATTAATCAAAAATTTGCAGTTGAATAAATTGGCGCCCAACTTTTTTTAAAATCGCTGTAACATCTACAATTTTATCCCGATTTGAAATTTTTTTTAGGTTATATTAATAAAAATATTTATTTTTAAATGACATTAGTTTTTTTAATGTAAAATAAAAGATAAGCAAGATGGCGCGTAATATTTTTAATCCCGACGCATTCGCCATTTTTGACACTTTCCATATAAAATGATACTGAAATAATTGTCTTAGATAAAAAATGATAATATAACAAGGATAATAATCTAAAACCAAAAAACTTAATTATGGTTTATGAAAGACGTGTTCAGCTTGTGTTAAAAACAACAGAAGATCGCCCCTTGCAAGCAAAGTGCGCACCTGCATTTGTCGAATCCCACCTCTTTCGAAAACTATCGAAAAAAGCCTGTTGTGCAGAGCTTACGACAAGAAAGCAGGTTATTGGCCGGTCATTTCTCCCGAAAAATCGCCGAAATTTGCGATGTCCCTACTTCAATGCACCAGGCAAGTTTAAATTGCGTATAGCCGTCTCGTTTGTGGGCAACAAGCTGAAAAGAGACGGGCCCATTGTGCCGGAAACATGGTCCAGCAAAAACACCCATGGGTGCATGGGCATAATTCTGCACTGCAACGATTGATGGGCAATTTTAAAAACCAAAGAAATTATATAATAAACCTGAGATTCTTTCAAGAAAAAAAACGCCTAGAAAATTGGCCAAATCTCGAAAAATATTTGTTATATTAAAACAAAAATTTAGTATGTTTTACATCATTACATTGTTTATATCCCCTGTAAATTTCAAATATTTAACATAAACCCCCACTGAGATACAGGGTGTTCAAAAATGGTTTACAAAAATGAACATAATATCTTCAAATATTAATATCTCAAAAACTGTAAAAGTTATATTATTCAAATTTGGGTATGTTGTAAAAAACAATACTACTATACTCCACACAAAATTATAAATTATTACAATTAAAAACCTAAAAGTTACAATACCGCAAAGTCAAACAAACTAAATTCCTAAAAACCGCATTTTTCGATTTTGCCAAATTGCGAGATAGAATCTTCTCGTTCGCACGCCAATGATTTTGGAGAGTCGTTGCCCTTCCCAAACGGCATTCAGTTTCAAATATAATGCAATTAAAGCCATATTATTTGGTAATACGTATGGTCTGCTTGGTTTTTTTAAGAAGGGTGCAATCGCTCGACTGGTTTTATTTAAAATGTTTACTTTTAAAATACGATTTCACAGATTATTATTATAAATAATTTGTTAACTTTAAAGCACAAGGACAATAAAAACTTTATAGTTAATAAAATGTACGGTAAAAAATAGTTTTAAGGCCCCGATTTTGATCTAGATTTATTTTTATGTTGCAAAAATAAGAATTCCTGGTAAACCTATAAACTTTTTGTGTTTTATGCCATTAAATGACGTCACGTTGTTATTAATTTAAATAATTTTATTATTATGAATGCTTAGTGTGTCTGGTATAAATTTGAATAGGTTTTTAACCTGAGTAGACAATAATATGTCTAGTAGGTATTGGGACAAATAATAAACAAAAAACAATAATATAATTAGAATAAATTATAAAATGTTAAAGACCCCATACGTCAGACAAATTATATGCAATTTTATTATTAGTTGAGTAAATATAAATAATTTTGGGTTAATATTTATTCAGGAAAAAAAAACAGAAGTTTTTTATTTAATATTTACATAAATATTACTCATATAAAACATAAAACCTTCCTAGAATATTAATTTACCAATATTTACTAACATATTTTATCAGGGACATTATTTTTAAGGGGCAATTCTCAATTACCCGAAAATATTTAGTTACCGTCTCCTCTAGTTCGGTTTCTGTAATGCAACCAAATGAAATTGAGGTCACCAAATACGCCAAGGACATATTATTTGACTGTACCCAGACTAAACTAAAATTAAAATAAGACCACTCTTACATGTTGTGCATTTGCAAGAAAAAAAAAACAAAAGAAGATCGTTTGAAATTGACGTTGTGAAAAAATGGCGGACATTTTTTAAATCACGGTGATTTTTTGTGTACATTGCAAAAAAAATCATCAAAATCCGTCTATAAATAGAGAATTTGGAGATTTGATAAATAGGCGCCCACCTTTTTAAAAAATGTGTAACTTTTTTGTTTTTAGAGCGATTTTTGTGTTTTTTTATATTTTTAAATATTTAAAAAATTGTACAATTAAAATGTATTTTTTTGGCATATTTTTTTAAATTAAAGTGATTTTTTGTGTTAATTGCAAAAAAATCGTTAAAATCCGTTTATAAATAGAGAATTTAGAGATTTGATAAATTGGCGCCCACAATTTTTTTAAATGTGTAACTTTTCTGTTTTAAGGTCGATTTTTGTGTTTTTTTTAGATTTATTGTAAAAAGTGAACTCGTTTTGAATTAAAAAATACTCTAATATATTTTATCTCAAATAAGATAGTATTTTAAGAAGATCGTTTGAAATTGATGTTATGAAAAAATGGCGGACAATTTTTAAATCAGAGTGATTTTTTGTTTATATTTAAAAAAATCATCAAAATTGGTTAATAAATAGAGAGATTTGGCGCCCAACTTTTTAAAAAATGTGTAACTTTTTTGTTTTTAGAGCGATTTTTGTGTTTTTTTAGATTTTTGAATATTTTAAAAATTGTACAATTAAAATGTATTTTTTGGCATAATTTTTTTTTTCTAATTAAAATAATATTTTAAAAAAGATCGTTTGATTTTATGAAAAAAATAGGATATCTTTTAAATTAAAGTAATTTTTTGTGTATATTGCAAAAAATCGTTAAAATCCGTTTAAAATTAGATAATTTAGAGATTTGATAAATTGGCGCCCACTATTTTTTTAAATGTGTTACTTTTTTGTTTTTGGCCCGATTTTCGTGATTTTTTTTAGATTTACTGTAAAAAGTGAACTCGTTTTGAATTAAAAAAATCTTTGATATTTTTTTTTTATCCCAAATAAGATAATATTTTAAGAAGATCGTTTGAAATTGATGTTATGAAAAAATGGCGGACATTTTTTAAATCAGGGTGATTTTATGCTTATATTTAAAAAAAATCACCAAAATTCGTTAATAAATAAATAATTTAGATATTTGATAAATTGGCGCCCACCTTTTTTTTAAATGTGTAACTTTTATGTTTTTGGGGCGATTTTTGTGATTTATTTTAGATTTTTGAATATGTTAAAAAATTGTACAATTAAAAAGTGTTTTTTTTTGGCATAATTTTTGTATTCTAAATAAAATAATATTTTAAAAAATATTGTTTGAAATTGATTTTATGAAAAAATTTAGGATATTTTTTAAATTAAAGTATTTTTTTGTGTATATTGCAAAAAATCGTTAAAATCCGTTTATAAATAGATAATTTAGAGATTTGATAAATTGGCGCCCACTATTTTTTTAATTGTAACTTTTGTTTTTAGGTCGATTTTTGTGACTTTTTTTAGATTTACTTTAAAAAGTGAAATCATTTTGAATTAAAAAATTCTTTAATATTTTTTTATCTCAAATAAGATCGTTTGAAATTGATGTTATTAAAAAATGGCGGACATTTCTTAAATCAGAGTTAAGTATTTTGTGTTTAAATTTAAAAAAAAATCATTAAAATTTATTAATAAATAGAGAATTTAGACATTTGATAAATTGGGGCCCACCTTTTTTTAATGTGTAAATTTTTTGTTTTTGGGGCGATTTTTGGAATTTTTTTAGATTTATTGTGAAAAGTGAATATGTTAACATTTAATTGACAAATATTTTTTTATTACAAATAGATATCATAATATTTTTGACCATATTATTAAAAAATATGTAAATTCACAAAAAATCGTCAAAATCGGTGAAAAAATAACATAGTTAGGATTTTGATATTTTGGCGCCCAACTTTTAAAAAATTGCTTTAACTCCCTTATTTTTAAAGCAATTTTGATGGGATTTGTTGTGGTCTACTATTAAAAACAAGCTCTTTCCAATAATGCCAAAATATTTTCAAAAACTTAATTACTTTTGAAGATAGCTATTCCTTCCAAATGCACCACCAAGTGAAACTGACATACAGCATTTAGTTTGTGTAAGTGCATCGAACGCGTAAGCGTTACCACCAAAAATTCTCGCCAAAAAAATCCTAAAACGTCATCGCATCGCATCTCTCTCACTAAACAGGAGCATTTGAAAGAAAAAGATAAAATGCCTTCAACCCCCTCTACTCGCGAAATTCGGCGCTCAGTTCATAGTATTTGACATTGCAAATTCGGAATGTCATGTGCAACATTTTTTTTCCGGCACGTAGCTGCCCTAGCCCGCGCGAAACCATAGAGTCAACGGAGATGGAGAGGTCAGGGCGTGCGGAAAAAAATCGGTGCATTCGTCGGGTTTGTTAAACCCGCATTTCGGCCGGCATTATTTGCTATCTATGCACTAATAGGACTAGACTAAAACAGTTGAATGTATTTTTAGCGCATTCAAGGTCAACCCCAGGATGTCCAAAATGACGGGTCAAGAAACTTATTTGTTATTCTCCGAGCTTTGGTACCTCATTGAAAATATGTTTACAACTTTTTTTTATTTTATTTGAACAATAACTTACTAAATATATGCTGATATTTTTGGTAAGATAATCTTTGACATAAATCATCAAAAACAAAACCGACAAATATTGCGTAATTATGTCAAAATCATGTCAAATATTAAACGTTTTGGGGCGATGAAAGGCTTTAATGCTTTCAGGCCACTGAAATTCGCAAAATTGCGTGTTTATAATACGCGGTTTGCCCAAAAAACTAATCCAAATTAGCGTTAGACCTTTACAAGAATTTCGTGCAATTTTCTAAGAATTTGGACTTGCCACCATCTGGGGTTTCCACCATACTCACCAGCTGGGGTATTGGTTAACCAAAATCAATATCTAATTAATTTAAATTTGGTACATATGTTACCAAATTATACAGTAATCGAAAAAATTATGGTAAGGTATCACTCCATACTCATAGAGAAACATTTCTGCTAATGTTGCAAAAATTTCAAATACTTCATATTCTCTCACAAAACAAACTACAAACTGAAAAATAAAATTCCTATAGCTAAATCTAATAATATTGAAATATAATTCAACATCAGTGGCGGCCCGTCAGGGGAGGCAGAGATAATTAAAAAATTAAGTATAATTTAAATATTTTACTTTTTATAATATACTATAAACTTTTAATATTTGGATTACATGAATGGTGAAATAGTCAAAAAAATTGATTGATTTTATACGTGGAATACCCAGCAACATTTAAATTATTTGAATTTGAAACGACCGCAATTTAAACTAATATTTATAGCTAGATGATTGGCTCAGAAGCACGCCTGAACTAATTTAGACTCACGATTTGCGTTAGCCTTGTTGTCTCGTTCTATCACAATGCGATATCATAGTTGTCTCCTTCTCTCGTATTAGCATACGCGAGGCAGGCACGCCTACATCCAAGGAAATAAGCAGGTGTTGTGGCAACACTGTTGCGGAATTTTAGATAAATTATACTTCACACGTTTTTCAAAATTCAATAAGTAATAAATGGTATTATTTTTCTTATAATAAATCGATTTAATCGAAATTATATTTCAATTCTAAAATAAACATATTTTAACACTATCGCCATCTTGTAGCCATCACAGTAACCAATAAAATAAATTCCTTCTTTAGGTTTGTTTTGGTTATAAAATTCTGAACTGTTTAAAGAACAAATCTGTGGTTATTTACGCAATATTTTGTTTATTCTTTTTCTATGAGTTTGTCTATTTTATGATTCTTTGGTAAGTTGTTTATTCTGTGGGTTTAGTTTATTGAACTTGGTGATTTATGTGAATTTAGTCATTATGGATATTACGGTTAAGGAATTTGGTGTCCCTCATCCAGATTTAAGTAATCTATTAATCAATCCACTATTCAACATGTGCGTCTCAACTTATTACAAATGTCGATAGATTAAATATGTATTCAGCGACCAACACAAAGATTTTTGTAAGGGTAGAATTAAGTTAATATAAACTGAAACCATAAAATAAACATAAATTATAAACTAAAGTAAACAGTAAACTGATCAATAATGTAGCACAGTAGGAACATAGAAACACTTTTTATTCTCATTTGATCACCACGTGCGAATACCTACCTACCTATTCGGAAAAATAATATTCAATAATTACTTACCAGAAAAGTGATTTTTTTAGGAATGCGGTGAAACAGTTTTACCCATAAGTAATGATGAAGTGGAAATTTGTGAAAATGTACCCTATAGAAGTAACAACCACTCCAACACCAATGGCAGCATTATCACAATGACCTTGAAAAACAACCATTTGATTGTGGAAACAGAGGAGAGAAATGTAAGTCCAGAAACATTTTTCCTGGACAAATTAACATTTTTTTTTAGGATATCGAAGAAGACAGTAGGGAGACTACCATGAAGTACTCTCCGAGCGCTAAAGATGGAGTCTTCGTCGTTGAAGTCCAGCAAGGGGTCCGCCGAAGTCCATCATCGACAAAAAACGAAGTCTCAACGTTGAGCGCCTTGGTGCACAGTCCTCCGGAAAGGTATGCAACCCCTTGAACATCACAAAAAACTTAAAAACAATACTTTTAGATTCTCGGAAAGCAACTCAAGTCCAAAACTGACAAAAACTGGACTTGCAACCAGCGATTCCAGCCTCAGCGGCAACAGGCAGTCGTACTGTTACACGAATCAAGAGTGCTATCAAAGCGGTAATTACGGTTACACCAATTACGTGTACGAGGAGTCCAAAGTGAGGCCTCTAGATGACGACACGAAGCCCAAAATAACGGCGGCCGTCTACAAGAAAAATTTTTCCGACAGGATGAACAGCGAAGCTTCTATGGACTTTGATAACAAGCCGTACGAGGTGGAAATTTTCGATGAAAGAAATTAATTAGGGGTGTTATTGTAAATATAAACTGTAATATGTTGTTATATTTTATGATGATTTTTTGGAGGTATGTTTATGTACACAAAATTTCGTTAAAATCGCATCAAAATCGCCAAAGATAGAATTTTGACATTTTGGCGCCCACCTTTTTTTTTTGAAAAATCGCCATAACTTCAACAATTTTGACGCGATTATCACGAAATTTTGAGGGTATACTAAACAAAACACGCTCTTTCAAAAAATCTTGACAGTTTTTGTGTAAAACAAAACGCAATCGAATTCGACCGGTTCGATTTCTCTCTTGTATGTGTATTTATTTTCTTGCGTACTCATAGGGCCTTCATAGTGTGTGTATAGCCAAAAATATTTGGCAGGTCATAAAACCAGTTTTCGTTGCAGCACGCAAGTTTAAAGACCTTTAGGTCATTGAAACTAGCCGAAAATTTCTTCGCACGAAATTGTTTTGAACGGACCCCCAAAAAATTCACTACTATAGAGATAAAATAGCAATCTTGGAGGGATTTTTTTTGGAGTTAACATTCAACTTAAAAATCTCGCTTTCGGTGTACAAAATAGCATTAAATGATATTAAAAATTGTACATAGACCTTAAAAGCACTCATTAATGCATTTCTTTGCACAAAATAACTCTAAAATAGGGAAAATTAAAGTAAGGGAAAATTTTATTGTATTTTTGTATATTTTTGTTTGTTTCTTTGTTACTATAGTGGAGCAAAGCAATAATATTAATAATATGTTTTATCCCCTGTATATTTTACAAAAAGTGAGATGGTATTATTAATTCCTAAATAATATTTGTTTAATATACTACCGTCCGTTAAAAAATACTCAATGCTCTTTGTTATACGGGGTGTAAGAAAATGATGGGCGAAAAGTTGCTGTTTATTTTCAAAAGCCCTGTATTGTTGATGATTTTAAATTATAAAACAAACAACTTTAAATTTTGTTGATTATATTATAAGTACGTATAGGTATAAGTAAGGGATGAAATTTTAACTTTTAACAACGATCGATGGTTTAATAATTTTTAATCAAAAAGGTGCCAAATATTCATTAGAGTTAAAAAATTTTAACATTTTGTAGGAAAGAAATAATTTCTTTATCATTATTAATTAATAGACAACTCGTGATAAATTTTATAAAAATAACAAAAAGCATAGGTTTAAAGATATATCTATAGATTATTGTGAAACCAAATAAACAAATTAAAAAAAATCAGTTTACTTATTTTTTCTACTCCCACCTTTAAAACGCCCTTTATCGTGTTTCCATGACACTAAGTGACCTTTTAAATACACATTGACAAGTTGTGGCTTTATGGCGCTTTAGTCACGGGCTGAAGTTAGCAACAGGTTTTTAGTCACGGGCTGAAGTTAGTTTTAAGTTGGTTGACAGTTGTGAAATATCATACAATCGTTAATATAAAGTGCCTTTCTTGTAAAATAATACTAAATGTGAAAATTATTTTATTATCTCAATACAAAAATACGAAAGTATTAAATAGTTTCTCAACGCCAATATTTGAAAAGTTTACATGAACATTGTACTGACCTTTTAATTTCCCGGCAGTAAACTATAACTTAAATTCGGACACGGACTCCACTGTAAAGTCCTCATAAAACATTTTCTTTACTTTCACTGTGAAAAACTGTCAATTTTCAAGAAATACATTTCGATTTATAACCTTTAAAATCTGTGTTTATAAAATATAAAAATTTGACATTTGACGGTGACCTATCGTTTCATAGATGGCGTTCTATACAAATTTTTGATTTAAATCACGCTACAACACAACACAACCGGCAAAATGAATATTAGAAATACCTATAATAGAATTACAATATTATATCACTGCCCCTAGAAAATGGCGAATTGCAAGTTGCAATGATACAAAACGTACTAAACACGTGTGCGCAAACGGTGTGCTCGTTTGAAGCTACCAGATTTTGTTGGAAAATTGACATGCTATTGGGATAATTGTGATGTATCTTAAATGAAATGCGTAAATATGAATAATGTCATGTTATTTTAGGAAAACCTGATTATCATCATTTTTTTTCAGAGATCTGCAATCATTTCCTATAATTAGTTGGTAACTTATGAATTAAAGTCGGCTAGCCAGTTTCCGTTCCATATAATTCCTAGAAATACCCAAAAACTTACCATTCCCTTTAAAAAAGCCTATGAATGTAAATAAAGGTTTTTTTTCAATCAAAAAATATTTTTGACCAATCTACTGTCAGATCTAACCTTGAATCTAATCTAACCTCACTATATACTTTTAAAAATCATAACCTATAAATTGTACGTTTTATGTATTGTTATTATGGTACTTATTTCCTAAAAACCCGGTATAAAAACCTATAAATATCCGTTTAAAAAGAGACTCTATCGAATGTGCATTTTGGAAAGTTCCTTTACCAAAATAAGTCGCATTATTTTTTTGTTTTATTTTTTTATTATTTAAAATGCATCATTTGTAGAAGAGAAAGTTCGCCAAATGATTTTGCACGGTGCAGCCAGCGCACAGTGGGCGAAATTTTTTTTTTCGGTCGGATAGGACTCAACGCAAATTTTCAATGCACGCTTTTTTTCTTGGTTTGCCACACTGTGCGCGTTTTCTAAAAACCAATTAACAGGCGCAAATTATTATTGGCCCGGTGGTGACCCACTTTTTTACCCACGGACAATTCATGCAGTTTATTTAGTAAATGTGCAATATGTACCTATACCTGAAAGGATTTTTAAATTTCTCAAAAAATTAAAACATCAAGTGAACTTCTTTATAGGGAACACCCTATAGATATGCGTTGTTTTAAAAAATACGAAATGCTTTAAGCTACTGACATTTTAAATTTTACATTTTGCTTTACGCAATAATTGTTATACAATTTAACAGATGCTAATTTAAATCATTAATTTAATATACGAGGTGTGTTCATAAAATAACGGGAATTGTTAAATTTCGCGGGTTCGGAGGGTCTGGTTGTCATAAAATTTTATTTATTATGCCCCCGAAGTATGATAAAAACTTTAGCTGTTTTCATTGTTTACTTTATTTGTGGCAGCCGCTAAGGTTAGGCGTGTTTTATCAGCTCGGCGATTTTTCGTTCGTAAAAGAAATGGATCAAAGAATTTGTATCCAATTTTGCTTAAAAAATGAAATAAATTCTGTGAAATGTTAACAAAGGCCTATAGTGAGTCTGCTATAAGTAAAACAATAGTTTACAAGTGGTATAAGAGTTTCCAAGATGGCCGTGAAGACGTTGAAGATGACGAACGCCCCGAACGCATAAGCACATTAACAACCGATAAAAACATGGACAAAGTGAAAAAAATGGTTATAAACCATCAGAGAAGTCGCTGATGATGTTGGTATATCGATTAGCTCATCCCATGAAATTTTTTCGAATGTTTTGGGTATGAAACGCGTGGCAGCAAAATTTGTTCTAAAATTGTTAAATTTTGAACAAAAACAATACTGTAATGATTCCCCAGCCTCCATATTCGACAGACATGCCTCTGTCTGACTTTTTCCTATTCCCAAAAATAAAGAGAATCTTAAAGGGCAGTCGTTTTGCAAGCATAGATGACATTAAAAGCGCATCGCTGAAAGAACTAAAGGCTATCCCAAAGATCGAGTTTTAGAAGTGTTTCTAGTATTGGAAGAAGAGCTGGCACATGTGCATAATATCCAATGGGGACTTTTTTGAAGGCGACAACATTTATGTAGACGAATAAATAAATATTTGTTTCAAAAAACGAAAATTCCCGATGTTTTCTGAACACACCTCGTACAAGGTGTTTGGAAAGTTTTAAAAGAAAAACGATTTTAAACCTCAAAAAAATCCACCCATCCTTATAAAAAACCCCTGTATACAAAACAAACGTACAAAAATGCCATATTTAATGAAATTCAACCTTTAACGTAGGACATAAGAACACAGGCATAAGAAGTTCTGTTTTTCCCTGGTAGCACCTGTTGAATCCCTTAATAATGATTCCAGCTCGAAAAAGAATCGTTTACGAATCAAATTGGCCATGTTTACAGTTATCTGTGCCTCCTTTGTGTTCTCTGTTCTTTTTAGCAACGACTAACGGTACAATCTGAAAGATCTGCCCGGCAGAAAAAAAAGCAAAGCAAATCTGCCAAGCAACATATGCTTCAAATAATTACAATAATTCTGGGAAAATCGCTTAAAATTTTGACGAGCAAGGGTTCACGAAATGCCTTTTAGAGCAACTTGAAGTCGTTCAAAAGTTAAAAATGATATGTCAAAATATTCCCAAAACAATATTTCATAAACATACAAAATATGGTGGTGGAATTTTGACGCGCTGAATTGTTATGGTACTAAAAATTACATTGATATTTTTTATGGTAAAACACAATGTTTTACAAAAAATCAGTTTTTAATTATTAAAAATTAAAAGAATATTGCAAATTATATTTCAATATATTCCTATAATAATTCTCTACACAAAAAACATAAAAAATAAAATAATAATAAAGCTGTTAAAAGTTATATACGTTTAAAAATGACAATGATAATGTTTTTATGTTAGCAGTAAAAAATGCAGGTTTCTACAAAATGTATCTTTTCACTGACTAAAAATTGTTCAAAAGTAAAAAATTATATGTCAAAATATTCCCGAAGAAATACATAATAAAACAAAAAAAACACAAATGTCAAATTCCAAAGCGTTCAATTGTTATACTTAGTCAAAATTGCTCTTTATATTTTTTGCAGGAAAATGAAAGAGTTTTGAAATAGCGATTTTTAACCACTAACAGTAAAATAAAAATTAAATGTTATTTATCAAAATAATCGCAAAAGAGTGGTCTTTAACACCAAATATTTATATTTAAAAAATATGATGAAGTTAACGAGTTATCACACTATTAATAAAATGATTTCTGTTAAATCGTTTCAGGCCTGCTTGGATCATAGTAGGCGAGTAAATAGTAAAAATTATGGATTTTTTTTTAATTTGCCTGGTGCGACAGGCTGCGCAGAATTAACAAATGTAGATTTTTAGGCGTGGTTTTTACATTTTCATCCTATTTAGTGAGATATGCATATTACCGTTCCGGCAGCAGGATTCTGCTCCTGCTGTATCGAATTTTCTATTTGCCATCATTTAATTGTTGTTTCCCTCTCTCTTTTTTCCCTCTTTCGCTCTTTTTACGCATCTAATTCCCCTTATAATGTACTACTCTTTTAAAAATGTCAAACTAGTAATTTTAAAAAATAACCCTGTTTTAAAACTACCAATATCTTTGACAAATGATAATATTTTTTTATAATTTTTTTTTCATCCTATAGCTCACCTTTTAAGGATTTTTTTTATGTATTGTTAAAGCTTGTAGCTTAATTTAAAACAAAAGCAAATCGCGATTTTGTTAACCTCTACAAAAAATGTGGATAATAAGTTGGCAAGAAAACACAATTTACAGCGATTTGAACAAAATTTAAAAATATTGAACATGGGTTAAAATATTCTTTATTAGAGTCCCTATAAAACAAAAAAATAACGGTTTTTAAATATTAACGCGTTTTGAAGTTCCCAAGAGGCATTTTAAGTAAAAGCGTAGAGCTTTGAGGCAATATTACTTAATTTAGGTAAATGTTTTGTTAAATTGACCTTAAAAATTTTCTTTGAAGTAAAACTTTTTGAAGTTTTACTTATGTTATTTTTTCCTATTTTAATAACCCTTAAGTATTATGAGAGACGTAATTTTTACGAAAGAAAATTACTTAATTAAGTGTATTAAACCTAAAGGAAAATTTAACGGTAATTTTAACGTCAGAATTTTTACTTAATGGTAAATGTTACTCGTAAGTCATAATTTTACGATATTAAGACGACTTTATAACCGTAAATAATTCCTATTTGCCTGGTATTTTTTAGGGTTATTAGTGGTAATAAATACTATTAATATTGATTAAACAAGGGAAAATAATCTTAAAGTGAAAAATAAAACTTTAAGGGAAATTTTTTTTCAGGTCGCCATAATGAGTTTTTAAGATGGCATCCATTACTTATCTAAACATTTATGTAATATTTTTTTATAAATATTTTTCTAAAATATAATAAGGAAAGTTTTAGTTATTAAAAAATGTTTAAAACTAAATGATTTTTAAAAGATTTTATAGGTTTTAAGTTTTGTTGAATTTTTCTTAAAAACGTAAAATATTTA